AGCAGTGGAGCGTCTTCTAGGGAGGGATGTCAGGCGTGACAACTGACTCACACAACAGGCTAATTTTCTTCAATAATGATGGTGATTATCTACAGTTCCTCACTATAAAGAGCATACCTTTCAAATACTCTGTCCAGCCAAAATATTTGAATGTTACTGTTAATATACCAACCTTTTGATGAAAGATCAAAAACATCAAAAGGAGATTGCAGAACTGAATGAAGCACTCACAAGCTTTCAAGACCAAAAAAACAAACATTCGTTTTTAGGAAGATGGCTATTCCAGACACGGTAATTTCTTGTTGCTGGAACTCCCTTGAGACATACTGGCAGTGACTAGAGTAATTTAGATTTTCCAGCCCCTCAGTTACTAAGTTTCTGTAGTAGAAGCGGGAACAGTCTTTGGTTTCACATGGAATTGGAGAAGGAATCTAACATGTCGGTTCAGTCTAAAAAAAGGGAAAATGCCCCTAACAATTTGTGACTGTAGCACTGCACATCCCATTGAAAAGCCTAGACAAATGACAGTATGAAACAACTACGTAGCAATTCAAAAAAACAGGAAACAGTCTCTTGCAATGACAACGAAATATAACACACTGCACATCTACCCAAGATTCACATTCTTGATTCTTGATCCTAACAGACAGACCTTAATTCATAAGAAGTGGAAGAACATTTTTTCTAGTAAGAACAAACAGTCTTGGAAAGACCAAAGTTATATCTTGAAAATGGTATGTCTTTCATGTCATACACATTATGTGAAATGAATAGTGCCACTAGGTTTTGGAACAAGACCACAAATACTAGCATACTGTATGTAGTGACATTAAGGAAAACAATGTTCTGCTAACACTGGTGGATTTTAATAGTAAAGGCACAAACATCTGCTCCCATAAGAACCTACCAAGCTGCAAAGGCGGGGGTGTAAAATGTAATCACTTGAATAGTGATACAAGTACGACACTGATAAGATGGCATTCACAGAGTACTAACCTCAGTTCTACATAATGATGCAAACTGCAGAGAACAATTCATCTGGCTGCAATAGATAGTGCATACGTATTAATGAGCAAATGAACAAGTAAAGATTTATTCCATGCAGAAAAGAAAACAGATAACACTTCTTCCGAAGAAAGCTCCACAGCCGAAATGTTGTACTCTTAACAGTGCTACATGAAAACTAAAGCTGGTTTCCATTGTTCACATGGTAATTCATAGCATTTTTGTTTTGTATATCCCACATTCTTACCATGTATATCATATCTGTGATGTGAAATATTATTCATTTTTTAGTTGTAAAAGATTATATATATTTTACAATGTAACGCAAATGTGATTTTCCACAGAAGTGTACAGTATATGGTTAAATATTTATAAAATCCAAAACTAACACAACTACATTAAACACTTATAACAGAAAGAAATTAAAAATGTCATATTTGTTTATCATAGGTATTACTGATTAAACAGAAATGTATGTTTGTCTGTCCTGTAATAAAGTTAAACAAAGATTTAAAATAAAGACAATGAAAAGAAAATGTGTATTTGTTCATCTGCAACCCTTATCTTTTGTTTTCTCAAAAGAAATGACTTATTCCTGCTTAGTTAACCATGATGCATTGTTCACAGCCATTTCACTTCCCTAGTTTCCCCACTGATATGTAGAATTTGTACCAGATCGGGATTTTTAATGATTTTTTAAAGTTGCTTCTTGTATTTGCTGCAATACTTTCTATAGTTTCAATACCTTTTAATAGGGAGGGCCATTTAGTGCAAGAAATGTAATTGGGGCAAGGCAAACACCAGAAAACTCCAGGGTTTTGACTACAAATGCCCAAATATATTAAACCAACTTAATGACCTAATGTCTGACACAACACAAACAAATCTGACATGAACAGGACAAATTCGCCAAGTGTGACTGACATGGGTGAAGTGAAGGATGCAGTCACACTGGTGCACTGAATTTTGCTTTGAAAACAGAGACCCGTATTTGCAAAGTAGCATCAGTAAGAAGGTATTCCAGCCAAACTGGCTTTTCCTTTTAGTACCAAATACCACCAATTCGTTTCTAAATTCTTGACCAAATACAGGGTTGCAGGGGAGTCACAGCTTCAACAGTAACGTATACAAGACAGTGTACACCCAAGAGACACACCAGTCCATTTCAGGGCACACACAAACACATCAGGGCCAGTTTTTTAGAGCCAGTTTACCTACCCGTATAAAGTCTGCACCAGCAGCCATATCACCCTGCAGCTCACAACTGGCAGCCCACTGCAGCTAAGCAGGTGTGAGCCTGGTCAGTACCTGGATGGGGGCCAGCAGGGGGTGCTTACCCTGCGGTCTGTGTGGGTCATAAAGCCCCAGTATAGTAATGGGACACTATACTGCAATGCTCTGTGGAAAGCAAAGTGCATGACAAGGCACAGAAAGGCATCATGCCCCAGTGCAACTGCTTTCCTACTTCCAAATGCTCTCCTGCACAGGTTTCTTCGTGCAACTCATCTTCTAAACAGATGTGCTGCACAAAGTACAACTGTTATTCACATTGTCTGAAGGAAGACACCTGGAGCAAGCCCACACAAACACAGGGAGAACATATAAATTCCCCGTACCCAATACAAATTAAAATAATTCACGTCTAAATAAAATTGTAAATTCTCATTTTCAATAATGACCAGGAACCAGGACCAGGTTCACTTTTTTCCAGTAAAGCACATACTGTATAAAGCAATCTGTGTGAAGTAACTTCCTCCAAAGTACAAAAGTAGCATCACACACAAGATATGACCAATTAAAAAAACTGCCTGACATAAAAATTTGGATGACTCAAAACTTCCTTCATCTTAACTGTGACAAGACTGAAGTCATGCTTATTGGTACCCCCCATCAACTTTGTAAAGCCAGTCCTGTAACCCTATCTGTAGATGGCTCTGTACTTGAGCTTCATTCAAAATTGAAAAACCTTGGGGTTATATTCGATTCTGGCTTAACATTCGACCCACATGTACAGCATACTGTTCACCTTAGAAATATCGCAAGACTACGCCCTATGCTATCATTAACTGTGGCTGAAAAGCTGATCAACATATTTGTATTCTCTCGAATTGACTACTGCAATGCTCTACTCGCTGGGGTATCTAAATCTACTCTGAACAAACTGCAGTATGTCCAAAATTCAGCAGCCAGAATCCTGACCAGGTCTAGTGCAAGTGTTCACATTACTGGAGTCCTTGCACTGGCTTCCGGTCAAATTCAGCGTAGACTTTAAAATCCTCCTGCTCACCTGCAGTATAAGGCTTTACATGGCTTGGCACCTCAATACCTGTCTGAACTTTTATCGCCCTACTCCCCACCTCGCAATCTTCGCTCTTCTAATTCTGCTCTCCTATATCGTGCCAATGTTTGTATACTGTACCTTGCAATGGACAAACATCCCGGGAGGTCTCTTATCAGTAATTATCATCTTTTTAATAATATATTCATTTTACAATATAAACAATGTAGATTCATGTTTTACATAATTGAAACTTATACAGTATATGGAAATAGATTCAATACGTGGACAATAATCATAAAACCAATGGTTTGCATAAACAAAATCAAGATCTCAATCTAAACAATGAACGAGATCTCACTTTGAACAAACTAACTCATTAATGAAAAAAATCACAATATTCAGCTTTTGGAATTTAACTCTATCAGACATACTGGTAGGAAGCGAGTTTTAAGAATCTTATCAACCACCTTTCTTTATGTTTATGAATTAAACAGGAATTTTAACTTTTTTGTGAGCATGTATAGCAGAATGCTTTCCATCAATCTATAGATGCCCCCCGCAATGGTACAGTATATATCTCTAAGTTTTTGCCAAAGAATCCCTCCAATTTACTCAGTGAGATGCAATAGAAATATCATGAATAACCTATGATAGAAGTAACAAGCACTAAGTATTTGATCACATCATCTACCAAGGTTAACTACAACCAGTAGGCCCTGCTGTAATAGGAGACCACGATTTATCAAAAGTACGTGGTGAGAACAAGGAATATCTTCATTTTGAACAATGGACAAAGAAGAAGAAATATATTTAGAAAAGATATTAACATCTGACATGCACAAACAACCCTGCAGATTGTACTTCTACAAGGATCATCGGTCATGAACAAAACTAAATTATTTGATGATTAGGACTTTTGGAAGCCAAATTTAAATATACAAAGAACCTAAAATGGTTACAAAAGAGATTTTTTTTTCTTTTGCCAGGAGTGTCAAAACCAGGATTAGTAAATACCAGCAGTGTCCTCTGAGGTCTAGTCAAGTATTTGAAAGCATCATGTTAACTTTTCACATTTTTGATATAAAATGTATGTATGATCATGATACATACATTTATATCAAACATCTCTGGGAATATTGGTGAAGTTACCAATACATTGGTTTTGAATGCATTAATTAAAAAATTGGATACCCCCAAAGTTTTTGAACCTAAATTCTTTTTAGATAGAAGTATTTATTGAAGATTCACATAAACAAATTAAATGGTCAAAAACAGATTTAGGTAACTAAGGTCTCATTTGAAATCCCCAAGTGAAAAATGTTATTAGTTTTGACTTTAACGTTCTTTAGAATTGCACAAGAAAATTACAAAAGTAGGCTAACAAACCCTGTCTCCCTTTCATCCATTACCCTAACACTTTTTGCTGAAATTACAAAACAAACCCTATCATGTATGCTTGCACAACATTCAATCCCAAGCGTCCGTTCTGTGGCAAGAAAGAGAGCAATTAAAGTAATTCTAAAAGGAAAAAGAAAACCCTGGAACAATGGAAATATGTGATCAACTGAATTTGTATTGATAACGCTTAAAATGAAACAAAATGCTTCAGAGGTTGCATGTTTATGCACAATATTTTTTTTTCTTATAAACAATATACAGTGTTAGCACCGCCCATCTGCGCAGTACAGCGGCAACGCATTTTCACCGGAAGTGTCGACACTGTAGTCTTTAGGTATTGCTGCAAGCAGAGAAGCAGAGAGAAGCACGGAAACCTTTATGAAAAAGGCCTTCGTCAAAGAAATATATATAGAAATAAAAAGGTATAGTCGTATTTTTATATTAAATCTTTTTTTCAATTAAAGTTGACCTTATAAATATTTACAGTATATGTAAGCCAGTGCCTATTAAGCATTCATCTCGGTAAATTTACCAGTATTCTTTGATTTTATAAATCTAGGTAAGTTGAAATCCCTTAGCAATCAGTTAGTCCCCGATGGACAATTCGGGAGACAGCATATTAATCTTTCTGTATACGATCTGTAGATCTAGTTTAGATATTTATTTAGGTTTATTAACAGGTTAATGACAAGATAGTAGAAGGAAATATATTCAAAAACCGTCAATCTGGAAATTAAAACAATTTTGATAGCTGTAATATTAATCTACCAATTAATATTGTATAGGGAATACTGTATAGCGCCCCGCTAATAGTTATTTTTTGTGGTGTTTTTATTTTCCTTGTTTAATTCGAAGGAAGCCTTTTCCTACTGGAAACGTCGATTTCCCGAAAGTAGCCTAAACAAAGTACGCTTTATGAAGTTATATTCTACAGTAACAAAATAACAAAATAATGGATTTGCTAGTTTTATTCTTTCACGTTGCTAATGAGCATTGCCACCCATCTAAATGAGGAAAATAGTCATTTAAAGCGCAAAACTAAAACCATGACCAACTCAAAAGTTAAGGATAGATGTACTGAACTTCCTCTACTTAATTTTTTTTTAGGATTTAGATTACAAAAAAAAATGGTTGATTCTTGGCAAGAATGCATGGATTATTGCATTTCTGTGACTAGAGAAGCTGGGAAGGTAAGTGCCCCTGCCTTTAGTTTTTCATTTGTGTAGAGTGAGAGGGCGAATTAAAAACGAATTGATCAGGGGTTATCTTTAACGCTTTCTGTATATAATATATCCCATAACATTTAAGCGAGTCTTACAAAAGTAATCAGAAGAGTCTTACAAAAAAGATTACAAGTATACTCAATTATATTGTGGAAATGCAGAAGTACTCTAAAATGTGAACAATTACAACATGCAATCTAAAGCACCAATCTTCACGTAATTTATATCCAAAATAGTGAAAAGTATATAAAGTTTTACTAGAGTTTTGCTTCAGTAATAAAGCAATAGCAGTTTGCTGTTAGTTTTTGGAATGCACACTTTACAGCAAATTGGTCACAATGCTTAGTACTTAGTATAGATATTACATCTAACACTAGTTTAGATGTTATTAAAAGTATTCAGTTTTAGTACAAAATACAGTCAAATGCATTTAATGAATTATTTAAAACTAAAATGCATATTGTATTCTATTTATCATTCAGATTAACATAATCAAAAATACAAAGTGTTTGACTGTAAAGTGAAAATAACTGTTTTGCTTTTGTGTCCCCATATTGTGAAGGGTACTGTAGTTATGAGTAATAAAATTATTTCAATGAATGTTCATTGTATAAATAATGTAGTTTAATTTAAGTCTGATTATCCAATTTGAAAAAAAAAATCATAATGGGGTACAGGCTCAGCAACAACAATAATTAGCTGAACCATTTTAAATAAAACACATTCTCCTAAAAGCTGAAAGTAATTCAGCTTGCGACTAATACCAACTTGTTAAATTATCAGTCTCAATAATACAGTTCTTATTTGTTCACTTTAACTGCTTTCAGGTTGGACAAGAACCAAAGTAATGCCCTATAAAAGTACTTTAAATTAAATTCCTCATTTATGCCTCATTTCATTGATCTTTTTTGGCTAAATACCTCATTAATACTGATGAGTGCAGCAGATTTGTGTGATTCTTCCAAGTCATTTAAGTAACGAATTAAATAGCTTGTGATGTATCTGATTTCTTTGGATACAATTGGGTATATTATGGATGACTATGTGTACACTAAGATTTTTCACTTATCCAATTAGCTATATTAAAGTATGCATGCATATGTTTTGACCTTTTGCCTCTTTTTATACTTTTGGAATTGTAAGAAGAAAAATTGATTCTCCTTGCAGGTGATTCACGAAGCGCTAAAACATGATGTTTCAATAATGTTGAAGAGTTCTCCTGTAGATCTTGTGACTGAAACTGATCAGAAAGTGGAAGCTCTAATTATATCATCAATCAAGCAAAAGTTTCCATCTCACAGGTAATAGCTTTTTTTACATTTAGTTTTTTTTTTTAAAGCTGCTTTATATAACCACGATTTCCCCAAATGGTGTCTCACAGTTGAAAACAAATGAAAAACATGTTGCTTCTTCAGTCGGTGATACCTCTCCTGTCAAGAGATGTGTTTGCAGGAGAGCATGTTGGAAGAGCATGTCCATGTGCTTCTTTCTGTCCCAAGCAGTAAGAGTGCCATTGCCAAGTCTTAAAAACAATTGGTAATACCACATTGGGTGGTTATCTAATAAAAAAAAATATAAAATGAAACTGTATATAACGGACACATTTAGTGAGCATGCATAGAACTGAAACACACAGGGAACAAGTACAATGGTGAGAGTGTAAAATCCCGGTTTGTAAAAGTAACAAGCAATAAAAACATCTTCAAATGAAAATGTGATGGGTAAGAAAATGAATGTTGGTCAATTAAAAGTACATAAGGTTTGATTGTGGTTATGGTGCTTTCACAAAATGCTTATCTGGGGACACATTTTTATGACAATCTTGCTAGTGCAGTGTGTAACATGTATTGTATAATAACTTTAATTGTTGTTTCATTTCAGTTTTATTGGTGAAGAGTCTGTTGCTGCTGGAGCACCCAGCATTCTGACAGACAACCCCACATGGATAATAGATCCAATTGATGGGACTACAAACTTTGTACACAGGTATGTCACTGTGATTTGTACTTTACATTACTCTTTTGGCCTAGCCTACAGTACGTAGTTAGCATTCTTCTCAATTGTTAACTTTAAAATGTTATTACTAATGGAAATTAAATTTTAATAATTCACATTGAGTAGCTCACCCAGTGAAAGTATTTTTGTCTACAGAGCACAATGAGATCCATATGTTTCTGGTTGTCCCTTGGTGATAGTCACTGGGATTCCTTGGGCACTGCTAAGGTAAACTGGAATAGATTCAGCAACAGCAACACTTTCATCAGTGACAAATGCATGGGTCCTCCAGTAGGTACTGACACTCCACTAGGTCAGAGTGGTGACAATGGTGGAGCATGTGCACAGTATGGATGGGAGTGGGCTTATACGTACAGAATTAGCAGCAATTTATTCTCTGTGATTGCAATACTAGGATATATTGGTAGACGAAAAAGAGCTGAAAAATATTTTTATTAAAAAATGTAATCCTGCATTTTACTAAAAAGATCACTTAAAAATGAGCTACTGTACAACATCCCCTGCATTATTTTTAATTGAAATGATTGATCCATGAAAAATCAGACTGTGCACTTTCATTCCAGAAAACACATAAGAATGCCTCCTTCTGTGGTTTGTGCTTTTAGAAACATGCTGATTTTAGAATCAGACTGTTAGCAATCAGAGCAGAAGAACAAAGGAAGTCAACCCCATGTTTTTTTTATTGCTTATATAGTCTGCTTGCCGAATAACAGGTGGTTCATTTTAAACTAATTGTCAAACTTGTTTTTTGATGGGTAATGTCTCATCTTTCGGAGGACCACTACATAGTCCTCTTAATGGTCTCTTTTTCTGTAATGACTTCATCTTGCTCTTTGTTGTATAAAGTGCAAGTACATGATGCGCAAGGAGAATAAATGTGCCTGCCTCTCCATTATTCATTATTAAGACAAACAAATGCTACAAAAATGAAACAGTGTGATTCTGTATTAAAATACTTTAACAAACAAAAGCAGTGCAAAGCAAGGCACAGAAATTGGGAAGTTCCAAATTGTAGTAACAGTGCAATTTCCACTTAAAGATATTGTGCCAGTTTTTAACTTTACAGTTTAATGTTGAGAATTCTACTTTCACATCCTAAACAAATACCAGGATTTTTTAAGATTTGCTGTATAACATTTCTTTTTCAGATTCCCATTTGTGGCTGTATCTATTGGTTTTGCTGTGAACAAAGAGGTATAGTTTATACTTTTAAGTATCTCTGAATGAGTTAATAGTGCAAGTCATACCCACCTGCTCAACAGATTTAAACATTCACCTGCATTTTAATGTAACTGCTCTAAGCAAAAATGTGATTTTTGTTGATGCTACAGTACTCTTGCCTAATACAGAAAGTTATAGACAGTTATCCTTACTTTACACTGGGAAAGAAGTATCATTTGTTAACTGCAGACTGGTGTCTCTGAGCCCCAAATAGAAGGAAAACGATAATAGAGTCCATCACCTTTCCTTAAAATGGTTATGCTTTAAAAACAGATGGAAGTTACCACTTCTAGCCAATTGTTGTTAGTTTTATTAGTGGACCAGTAGATGTCATGCTTCCCTCATGACCAGCATTTCCAAAAACACTGCTGCAGTATGGTGATCTGGGGCTGTGATATAGAAAGTGCATTTCTTTGGATAAGGTGTTTAACGGAGTGTGGCCTGGACTGCTTGGTCATTTACCCTTCTTAACTCCACTGTATCCTTGAACAATCTGGCCTACTTAACACTCCTGCCTTAATCAAATTTGTGAAGCAGTTTTGTACTCGTCTACCTGATCTGGTGTGTAGTAGGGATTTTGGCACATAATGACTGCTTTTCAGGCCCTGGAGCTGCTTTATGTGAAGTGCTTTGAGATCTTGTGGAATAAAAGTGTAAGGGAAATCATTTTATACTTTATGTGCATTTTTTATATATGATGATGAAATTTGTTTCTGCATCGGTTGCTCCCTGGTTTTCACATTATACACTAAGAAGTCATTTTATAATACATAAGTATTAAGAAATGTTATCTTACTGTATGTTCAGTTTCAATAGTAATACAGTACTGTATATGAACTTCAGTTTCAATATGTGTGTTAGGATATATTCGTTAGGATATTATTGTTGAGATGATGGTGACATTTGAATTTGGGTTTGCCTGGCCTAGGGCCAAAGCTGAAATGAGAGAGTGAGTCCCACTTGCATTAATGTAAAATACAAACTCTAAGGATTCAATTTATCATGGTAACCTACAAGATGACGTATTCAGTGTCTGAAAAATAATAAATAGAGGAGGCAAGATTTATGTTAAGTAAAATAAACAAAGCTGTATAATAAATCTTCAACACTGTGACTGAGGTAAATTGATTTTGTGTATATTAGCAGCTCAGGTCCTTTGGCTTTTTTGACCTCTTGAGTGAAGCTGGCAAGAGGTTGAGGGTGCATTCTGTAGCCTCACTGCTGAGTGAATTAGTGGTTGAGAATTGAGTGTAGGAGGGTAATAGTGTAATGAATTGTGGGATAGATTAGATTAGAGATCCAGATTACCAAGGATTGACAGAATTGTGAATCTACCTACTGAATTTTCATTATAAGCTCCAAATAAATAAAACATTCACAACATTAGGGTTTGCTGACAATTATGGAAGGGCATACTTTTATCCCTTGCTTATTAAGATAATTGCTTCCTACATATTCATTATGTGTTATTTGAGATACTAAAGTAGTATTTGTGGTAATATATCTATGTAAATTAAATAAAAAAAATAAAATACAGTTAATAATATATTATTGTATTTGGTATTACTCAGCATTTACTCAGTGTTAAAATAAATACTGAGTAAATATTGAGTAGATCTGGGAGTCTGTGACCTATGCCATGGTAATACAGGAATTAGGAAACCTATTATGACATCATTATGACATGTCAGTGTTGATCGACTACAGTAACACTACACATTACTACTGTAGCAGACAGAATTTTGTGTTATGTAATCATAAATGTGTTAATAAAAGGCAGGACCTCCAGAATTAAGACAGAAGAGCTCTTTAGAGAGATAGAGAAAAGTCTGTCTCTTGGCTGTCCTTCTCATTTTTGAGACAGAGATGGTGAGGATAAGAAGAGCTCTTGACCTGAACCGATGCACTGCTAAACAGCTCGCTCATTTGTCTGGCATTTCTGTACACAGTGCCAGAAAACTAATCAAATTTAGAAAGAGACAGAAAAAAAATGCCAAAAAGGTGGAAGCAGCAGAACAATCCCTGCTGAAGAGAAAACACAAACCAAAATCGGGAGAGACAAGCAAGCATCGAGCTGCAGTTGTGTCTTCACCAGAGGAGGCAGGTCACGATCAGGCTTCTACCATTCAAGATTTGGATTCAGATTCCAGGCTTTCAAAGCCAAATAAGTTAAAAACAATTAAAAACCCAAGTGGGACTATAGAGAATGAAATTGCACAGTTTGGTGAGATTGAAGGACACAAGGAAACCAGGTCAGTTGGAAGGGGCAGTGGTACCATTCTCCTTGAAGAAATCCCTGTCAAAGAATGGCCTGCAGATGTTGCTGAAACAAGAAGAACAAAGGATTTTCAGACCCATTTTTCTGGCTGTAAGTCTCAAATGGAACCCATTTGTGGTCCTTACAGATGTTTTAAAGCTTATATTCAGTATTTAGTCCAGGAGCACTCGCCAAATCATTTCAGAAGTCCTCTGACAGCACTTCCTGAGACAAAGAGTAACAATTCAGAACTGTTGGAACCAAAATCAACTTTGCCAAATGCACCTGCAATTTTACCTCAAACTACTGCTGAAGATTCAGTGGCCCAGGAACCTGAACATTTCTTTCAACCTTCCTCACCAGAAAGCAAGGACAAGCAAGGTCCTGTGACAAGTTTAGGGTATGAGCTATCTTCTGACTGTTTCCCTGAATTGTCTCAGCATCTTAAACAGGATAAACAACTGGATGATAAGGGGAGACAAAAAGGCAACAGGAAGCACTGCAAGAACTGTGGAGCTCGTAAAAAGTATTCGGTGAAAAAAGAAAAAGCACAGGGGACATATCATGCCCCCCATCCAAGCTCATCAGAAAGAGCGAAGCTTCAAATGTTTCAGAAGAACCACAATCTTCTCAGGAGAATGGCGAAGCACAAGAGAGGAATGAAGAGAAGGGGGTCCCCAGAAATAGATGTGGAGAGAAAACATACTGTAAAAGAGGTGGAGGCGGATTCAGGACACTGTGTAATTCTCTAATCTTCTCCACCTTCAACACAGTCAATCAAAAAAGCCAACCCAATTGATCTGAAGACTGATGATGGCTAAAATCTAATTCAAAGGACCAAAGGCTTTTCAATAAAGTGGGACCTTCCCATTCTTGAACAGAAATTTCACAACATGTAGTTGTGTGCTTTATGTTTACGCAAATTTTAGGAATGGGTTTACATCAAAGTAAATCTTCCAAAGGAATTCCGGAAATAAATTTTATATGAGTCACAGAAAGGAAATGGGGTACACAAGTAGAAGTTAATGTGTATCTTGGCCTGGTGCAGCTATAATAATTCAAACTGTGATTTGCATACTGAAGGTGGGCAAATGCTTATTCAGATTCAAATGTTGATAGAGCTTTTTGCAGAGACTTTTCTACATTCTGATTTTGATAGAAGGATCTTAAAATGCTAGTTTTCAGAATCTTTAAAGTGACTTGCTGCTATGTTTTTGAATGTAAACTATGTAAGACAAAACATGAATAAATGTGTGGGACAATTATCCAAGGTATGCAAAGTAAGTGACAGCTTTTGTGTGCAGATAATTAATCTTTTTGGGCCTCCTTGGCATCTTAAAACTGAAAATGATAGAGATTAGCGTAAAATTGGTGGATAACACCGTTCCAGAGATATAAGAAAGACAGAAGATGGGTAGATGTAGCATTATATACCAAAAGAGTATTAAGGCTCAGGAACTAAAGCTAAAGGAATCATGAGTCCCTGAATCTATATGAGTCATAAAGTACTTGTCATTAAATAATCTATAGTGTTAGCAGTATGCTATAGACTGCCAAATGCAGATGTTGCTTTTAATTCAACCATGTATAATAAAATTAATATTATATGTACAAAGCCATATCAGTGAAATAACTGAATACATGTATAAATAGATATGCTAGGTATGGAATCAGTTGAGAGCTGATGGGAAGAAAGCACAAAACAATTTTTTTCCAAGAGTGGGTTAGTCAGAATCTAAATAACAGTGCCCCAAATTGTTCAACAGATCAGTTATACAAGGGAAAATTAGTCATTTTAGAAAATAGTTTAAAACAATAGGATCCAGTTAAAGAAAAAAAAATGAACTGCTAGCACTTGCAGACCATTAAGTCTGACTTCAGTTGCATTTAAGGTTATGGAACCAATAATATAACTAAATGAGAGTATGACTTATATGGAAATGTCCCTAGGATTTTAAGTTAAGATTAGTTTACAAAATGCAGGTCTTGCATAACCAACTTTGAAGAAGCAGAAACCATAATGTATACACAGAGAGCTTATGACATTGTGTATTTAGATTTTCAAATAAGAGGCAGTAGGCATTTGGTGAAATGTTTGTAACTGGATTGACAACTTAGGTCTAACAAATGGTCTTCCATTGTCCTCACAAGTCTCTTTTGAAAGTTTTACGCTTTGCTGTAATTAGCTAACTCCAGGGGCAATATGTTCAGGTTTTGTCTAATTTATGAACCCTGTAATACACCTGGGGTTTGATTAAAAAAAAGTGTGCAAGAACACAAAACAAAACTCTAAACTCCTCTTTGAACATTTCTTTCTACCTTCTTTATATAGTCCAACAAGCAAAAAAAGTGGAAAAAAAGGAAAAGGGCCAAGAAAAAAAGGGGAAAAAAAAAGTTTTTTTTTCTTTTAAATCCAATTATCAGTACATGAAAATGAAATGATATCAACTGAAATCTGCCATTGTCCTTGTTGTGTGTTCCAGATTGAATTTGGAATAGTTTACAGCTGTATAGAAGATAAAATGTATACTGCCAGAAAAGGAAAAGGAGCATTTTGCAATGGGATTAGGATACATGTATCAGGACAAGAAGGTGGGTTTCCCATTTTTATAATCACATTTCTTGATTAAAATATTATCTGATATTTCTCTGTGGTAAACCCCTTTGCATTTTAAATTATTTTTAATATAGAAGCATAGGACACCAAATCTCAAACGTGATTATGCTGCTGGGGTCTCATCTTAATAGACTTGCATGATTGGAAAAAAAAAAACTGGTGAGGTTAACTAGGTTCACTGCATCATAATTATCTATTTTAAAACTTGCGATGATTGGAGGTACAGTATGTGGAGATCGGTAATTCTAGCTTTGTCTAATTCCATGTTCGCTATATTTTAGTGTATTATTTAACACTAATCTTGTTTTCAGTAGCAAAAAGTTCTGGAATCAGACTAAATTTCTGCTGCCCAATGATCCCTGTCTGAACAGTCTTCTCTGAAAGTATTGTAATGTAATGTAAAGGAGGACTCAAAATCCACTCATCCAGTCATGGACTGGTGATTGACGAACTCTAGTTGTAGATAGCTTGCACACACTCAAAGCAGAAACGTAAGAATTGGTTCCTGTACAGGTTAGTCCACCAAGAGCCGCATCACACTCACTTTTGTGCACAGTGTGCAAATCGGTCTGTTTGTTCCCTCAATTTCATCTTGCGGTTAGTACACATGACCTCATGAAGTTGGACCATGTGAGCTCAAAGGCTTGTCTGAAGCAGTCAGTAAAAGCAACTCAATAATGTCAATTCATCTGGATTCAGTCTCCCATTATCCACGATAACACTGCATATTTATATTAGTTTATTAATGATGTGTTAGACATATTATCAATCAAGAAGGAGAAAATGCAAATAAATCACAGTGATCTGTGCAGATAGTAATAAAAGTGTATTTTTTAGATATATCAAACTCACTTGTATTAACTGAAATTGGATACAAAAAGGATCCAGAGCATTTTAAAACAATGATGACCAACATGCAAAGGATTGTGAGCATCCCAACCCATGGGTAAGCACATTTTCTTTCATGCCTGTTTAATTTCATTTCCAGTAAAGCCGATAGTTCATAAACGAATAAGTGCGTGGTCCAACAAAAATCATTCCTACTACTAATGCTTCTTCTAAAAATTACTGATTGTTAATGTATAATTGTGTGTATTATAAATTGTACTGCATTATGGATTTGTTAATTTTTTAGACTGCATCACATAATTCTGCATTCATTTTTTGCAGTTTAGATGTTGATTTTTTTAAACCACCTTTTCTTAATTTTATTTTGTTTTTCCAAAACAAGAACAAAGCAATAAAAATATGATATCCCTCCCTCTGTCGGTGGTACACCCCTTTGAGGCTGTTCCAAATAAATTAAGTTAGTCAGCTTGGATAGAAGCATGGTACAATAAGGATTAAGAATTCAAAAGCCTGTGACAGTCCAAGGCTGGGTCATGACACTATGTGGCTATGGCGATGATTTCCCAATTGCAGGGGCTAAGGGCGTTCTCATCTACCAGCGAAACATCAATGATTTCAGTGGGGGATGCAGTGAACCTCAAATACATAACTATGGAGTTTGTAGCATGTCAAAAGATGAGCGCTTCACCATGCAAGTGCTCAGTGGAGCCTGTCTGCACATCCTCATTCTCCCTCTTTGGGTCCAGAGGTTGTCGCTGTGAGCTGAGATATAAAAACAGTGTGGAATGGTGGCTAGGGCTCGAGACTCATCCAGATACATCAGTAAGATTACAAAGACGCAACTGACAATTTTTAGTTGGGTATGTAGTAAAGCATCATCGGCATTTCTTGAATTCAAAGTATTTTTGCAGTATAGCTATATGGAAATTTTTTTGACACCAATTAACTATAAGAGTTCGAATCTTTTCAAAGCTTTTTAAGTCATTTTGTCCTCTTGGTAATTCATACACTTTAAAATTGTTGAAGACCAAAAGCCCCCTCACACCATTCTCTCCCTGTCCCTCTGTATGTCATTCCACCCACATGTTTCCTGGCCTTGCCATAATTAGCTATGGTAGTATTATCCTATAGGAAACATTGCAGCTTCATAGGAAATAAGATCATGTTTCTGTTTTAACCTAATTACCTCTGCAAGAGATGGATCCATTGAAACTAGCAGATTAAGATAATTTTAATGTTTTGTATGTGCAGGAGTACAAAAACTACCAATTTGGACAATTGTAATGGAGATTAAAAACAGGAAAACTATGGTGTAGAGCCTACAGTGTATACTGAGAGAGTCCTGCCATGAATAAGGTCTCCCTCCCCCACAAAACTGTAGAAGTATTTTTTAGTTTGTCTTTTCCAGAGGACTTACATGCTCACTGTATAAAGTTCAGGCTTCTGTCTTAATGTCTACATCAGGGCCTACATGTTTTAAACTGACAGTACAACTACTTGACAAGGGGGTGTTTGTGGCATCTCCATTTTGTGCTTTTTTGTTTGTTTGGTCAGATGATATATAGTCTTTGTCTAAAAGGTTGATTTTTTAATGGGTCATATGTTTGTACATTCTATGTTTTCCATAAGCAAGCATGAGATTTTTACTTATTTTTAATTTCCTCCTATGATTCACCTCAGAATCCGGTCTCCTGGAAGTGCAGCTGTCAACATGTGCCTTGTGGCTGCTGGAGCAGCTGATGCCTATTATCACATAGGAATCCACTGCTGGGACATGGCAGGAGGGGCTATCATAGTAACTGAAGCTGGTGGAGTGATTATAGATATCAGTGGTAAGGAACTCTTTGCATGGTGGGTGTGTCACATTAGTGTTACCAGTTGTAATTCAAAGTGTAAATTCAAAGTGATGAATATGATGATGATGATGACTATTATCATTTTTACTAGTAGTAGCTGTAGTATTAGTATGTCAGAGACCAACTATGTTGAAAGAAAGTACAGTGACAAGGAAAACAGAACCAGTTCAGAACCACAAGCACAAAATGGAACAAACTACAGCACATTCAAATTTGGAAGCTAAGCTGGTAAGAATGCTGCCCTCAATGCTACTTTTCAATCAAAAGGCTGATACAACTTATAAAAGTACATAAATATATGAAAATCTGAAATTGCACTACTTTGATAATTCTACTATTACAGTATTTTACAATGAGGTTACTGTCACGTTTCAGGGTATAGTTTTATTATATTATAGGACCCTTCAGATAACCTTTGCTTGTTTTTTAGGAGGTCCTTTCGATCTGATGTCTCGGAGGCTGATCACAGCGAGCAGCAGAGCTCTTGCAGAGCGGATTGCTAAGGAGATTCAGCCTTTTCCCTGTGGAAGAGACGATGAAGAAGACTAGGATACTTTTTACTTAGGATACTTATACTGTAGTGCCTACTGTATATTTGGTTATTTGATGCCTGAAGTTGGTTTTCGTCAAAGTTATAAATTAATGTCAACGTTTGCAAAATGACTTGGGACCCACAGGTTTAAATTAAAAAAAACTTTGGCTGTTGAGTCATCTTCAGGTTTTTTTCCGCTTGTCAGTGTGGAATTAGCCTCGGCTTGTTGCAGCCTGCATGCCTACCAGAGGGAAAGTATACTGGTTAAATGTCTCCTACCTTTTAAAAAGGTATAAATAACTACAGATTTGTCTAAAGTTAGAAAGCTCCAGAAATTGATACATTTACTGATTATAAGAAAGTCTTTGAAAATATTTGAGAGATCACATTCCATATGCAGTACAACAGCGCTGTTTCTAGGTAGTACCTCGTAATTTCTTCTGCTGTGCAGGATGGGGTTTTGTGAAGGCACGCAATCAACATCAGGTTTGGCTAAAAGAAAATCACCAAAAAGGACAGAAAAGATCACAGAACCCTTTGCATTTTGCATGCATCACAATATACTTCTTATTTCTTTCTCTTGGTCAATATTTGCATTAGTTTATTTGACTTAATCTTAAGAAGATACATCAGTTGAGATTGATTTTTGTAATGCATAAATGTTATCATTCCAAATGATAGAACATACAGATATTTTAGAATAAATTCAAATATTTTAAATACCGTACTTTAGTTATATGTGGATAAAGAATAGACAACTGATTCACTGTGATATGGAAATGCCACTGGCTTTGTCTCTACTGACAACGAGCTTATTTGTTATGGCAGGTGTTATCAGTTTCTATTACATCTTCTGTCACAGTTGTTCACTTGTGGATTCATGAAGGTAACAGTTTGGAGTTTGTGATCTGAGAAAATCACAATCTCGTGCTGGAAGCTTCAAATGTTTATACTTTAGAAATGTCAGATTTACTGCCAAGTATTGATGTAGTCTTCATCCTTGGATGGCAGCTATATTTAAGATTATGGATTATAAAATACAAATGTTTACCTGGTGCCTTTAAATTCAATATTTGTCTGGGTTATTGTGTAGTCAAAGAACTAACGTGATCTTGATTAACGTAACTTTAATATACTGTATCACAAGTGAACAGTTGAATTTCTCAAGGGTATCATGTGTATTAAGGTGTAAACATTCTGTATGATCTACTGTAGTATGGTACAATATTTAAAGATTATATCATATTTAATAAAAAATGTATTTCTCTGCAGTGTGTTAATTTTATAGCAAATGTATACAAGACTTTTTATACAAAGCCTTACACTAGAAAACATAAAGCCTTAAAAACATAAAACAATGCTTTATTTCTAATTATCTTCAACACTTGATTTGTATTTTACTAGTCTTATAGTGCACCCAAGATGTTATTATTGTATTATTCTGAAATGTTTACAATGAAGGCCAAAATTCTACTAAATACAATGTATTGTTATTGTGTCTGCATTTCTTAAAATAATTTCTTAACCTTATTTTGAAACTTTAATTTTGTGATTTTTAAGCCCCCAAAAATAGTAAATGGTATTACTACTTAGTACAATATTGATTAACTTTTGTGACCTGTTGCTGTGTCATGTCTGCTCTTCCATTATGAGACTATGAGAATGACAGATCGGGCACTGCGATGCTCAAAGTTTTCCTGGAACAGGACAAATTTAAAATAAAAAACTAGCCTGTCCATAGCCACAATTTCATGGACGTCCGTGGTGTATGGAAGAGTTTGTCAATTCTGGTCCTGGATTCACAGTATGACAACACACAGTACAGAAATTAAAGTCAGCTACACATTATTTTTGCACTAATTAACTGATATAACAATATGATCCCAATTTGGTATTCCCAATACTGCATATGGTGTGTTTGTTACAAAACTTGAAAAGGTTTATAGGTGCTCAGAGGTTCAGTGTGACTACAGAGAGAAAATTATAGATTCTGAAGTAAAAAGTGATTTTAAATATATTTTATATTAAGAACCCTAAACTGCAAATAGCAGAATGTTCATCTTTACCTAAGAAGCAAACAAAAAGAAGGAATGAGGTGAGCTGTTACCCACACAGGAAAATGTGGGCTATCTTTATTTTTAGCCCAAACACTCATTATCTCCAGTCTTAATACATAATCTTGTAGAAAACAAGAAAATTCTCTTATTTCTCTGTCTTACAAATGTCCAGGTATTATTCCACTTATAGTGGTGTAGTTTGGACACATTTTATTTTTTGCATTTAACAAAAAGGTTTGTATCAAAATCTTTCATATAACCACCTCAAGTGAATAGAGGCATGATATTAAAAATTAAAATAATTTGCTCACGTTCCAAATGCAGAACATCAAATACATCTGCAGTCTTATGAAATTTCACACACTGCGGCTATTTGAACTTTATATTGATCTTGCTATTTGTCAAATAATTCAGGAGCTACTTGCAGCAAAATTCAGTTATGGACTGGATTGGAGTGGGCAGAAGCAGCCCTGACCTTATACATGATACTCCTGAGGCTTTCTCATTTTAACCTATTCTTTCCTTTTACACACGCTTTCAAATGACTAATACTGTAGATTTTGCAATTCTGAATGTTTGACAAGACAGTGCTGCTGTAGTGACGTTGCCTTGCATGACACTAACGAACACAATTATGGACATTACTGTCCATTATGGGTGCACTGCTATACAGCCGAAGCTACCATCATTGCTTCTACTCTGCACAGACTACTGTTTACAGTATATGGTTTAGTAATTGATTAAAAACAAGAGGCAAATCCTACACCAAATCAAATAAAACTACAATGACTTGCTGAAATGCATAATGCACCATATTATACACTACAAAATAAAGTATTTTCTTTGAGGTGCTATACAGGCATAACATTATCCTTGAATTTAGAGACAGGACACTCCTCAAAGCTGAGTTGTAATTCAGAGGTCTCCCATTTTATAAACAGCTTTTACCAGTTCACATAGTATCATTTATATCTATATGCTTCCCTTTAAGGTATTCTATTTTTTTTCTTACTACATGCAAATAAACTATTTTACTGTCTGTTGCATATAATTTGTTATTTGCAGTGTTTGCTGCTGTTTATACCACACTTAAGTATTTGACCATTTCAGTAATCTCGTTCCCTCTTGAATTATAAGCGTAGTTTCCAAAACTGCAAAACATTTAAACAAAATGACATACAATTACATCTGCTGCTGAAAAACTAAAGCATTGACATTCAACCTCAGTTCGATTATTGTCACTTGAGGAAGCGCAACAATCATCTTTTGAAAAGCAGAGCACATTAGTTAGGTTTTGGAGTCCATTTGTTCAGTTGTCTGAAGCTGCAAAGCAGTACATGCGTGTGTACACTAAACACTAGTTGTGCCTTTTGTTTAGTGTCCTGTGATGTACACCCTGTGATATTTTCTAAAATAATTTAACTAGTCCGCACCTCAGACATTCATGTTATAATACCTAATAAAATCAAACTGATGTGATTGTACGGAGTGTACTACATAGTACTTGACGATGTACTTACATGTACTGTAGGTTACCTACTCATTAATGTTATTGCAAGCACACATACAGTATAAGTTAGCCTTTTAGAGTGGCGTTACATTAGTGTATTTTGATCTGTCAGCTGAGTACACGTTAAACTTAAAATTTAAGTAAACTTAAATCTTTTTCAGCAGTACGTACAGTAGTACTGTATGTTTTTACATTTTACATTTTACATTTTACATTCGGTGGAAACCCGCGTCTTACGTTAAACGCTGTTCCGCTTTAAAAAGGAGTAATCAAAGTAACACATTGTCTAGACTGTACGTTTCAATCTTATGTTTTTTAAGAGATGTGACTCCTTATCAATATTTTGAATTACAAAGACCTCTACCAACTGTCACTGTTTCCGAGTTTATATTTTCAAAGCCAAACGATACTTAATTTAATGTTCGTCCTTTAGATTAACGTTAAATACGTTAAACACATTATCGTTATTGACACCCACCTAAATAATACACTGATTGCAGTTTGGAATCTCTTATTGCTATCTTCTTTGCATAGTTTTTTTTTTGTCCTTTTAAGACAGTTTTAATTGCACAAGCTATGTGAGCCATCAGGCACATTCGGAGTACATTTCCAAAAGCGATAACACAATTACTACAATAATTACCATCGAGTCAAAAAATGTTCCTCGTGGGCATCCAAACTAATCATTAACATGGTGTATTCGTCTACGAGCTCTCTATATATTAGTTTCCTTGTCTCCCAAGGATTGTTTTAGTTCTTCGTTTTTTTTTTAGCAGATTAATAATAAGTTAAAAGGGGTACGTTTTGTAAAGGCTGTTTCATTATTTTTGAGTGTCTTTTCCCTAAATTGGAGTTCTCGGCTGTCGTATTGCATATTAAAATGATAGATTGCTATAGTCGTAAACTGTGGTACTTTCGCCTACTACACATTTTTCTCCTCCCCTTTAATATGAGAATAAAATTGCCATAAGAGATCTGCAGTTGTAGTTCATTCTTCTGTTGAAAGGCATACTACTGTAGCTATCTTACAAGATGAGCTTCTCATCAGGCATTTTTTTCCCCACAGCACCAAAAATGGCAGATGTCTGGCAAGACTGCATGAACTTTGGGATCTCAATTGCATCAAGTGCAAGACAGGTAGGCTTTTTCTAAATAAACAATTTATTGGAAATGATTTGAGTTATAGAAAACCTTTATACTAAGCTTGTTTGTCCACAGACTATTCTTGAGGCTTCTAAAAGCAAGAAGACTGTGATGTTGAAAAGTTCTCCAGTGGATCTGGTGACTGAAACTGATCACAAAATTGAGGAGATGATTATATCTTCAATCAAAGAGAAGTACCCAACTCATAGGTGAGATGGCATCTCTTCTCTATAATGACTTATGATCCATAAATGGTTTTATAGTTAAGACTTAACAGTTTGCTTTTCTAGTCAGTCCTAAATGTTGTGTACTAATGAGGCAAAATGTAAACTGGGGTCTGGGTTTGCTTGCCATGCTTAGTGAAATTTCCTTCTGGCTTTGAGGGTTAACTTACAGTAAGCCATTGTGGACCCCAGATTTAGTTTTCATTGTATTTTTTTTTCCCCAGTTTTATTGGTGAGGAATCTGTTGCTTCTGGAGAAACATGCACCCTGACTGATAACCCCACCTGGATTATTGACCCAATTGATGGAACTACAAACTTTGTGCACAGGTTGAATTTCTTATCTTGAATTGAGTAGTGAATTTACATTTTAGTAGAGTGGGTGTTGAAATGTTTCTCCTTTCCAGGTTTCCATTTGTTGCCATTTCAATTGCCTTTGCTGTTAACAAGCAGGTAAGCTGAAGCTTTGAAAGCCATTAAGCTTTCAATTTAGAAGTCCTTGCACACTCTGATGATGGATAATTCTCTCTTCAAGACGGAGTTCGGGATAGTTTACAGCTGTGTGGAAGATAAACTCTACACTGCCCGAAAAGGAAAAGGTTCTTTCTGCAATGGAGTGCAATTGCAGGTCTCTGGACAGGAGGGTATGTAGCACAAGACTGGTTTCTTCACTTTACTAAAGTGTATAGGCTTGTACCTAAATGCACCTTCTGAGTGATAAAGCCTTTCCTGTAAGTAAAGTATACAATATGAGTACGGTATTGCTCATTGTCTAGATCTACAGTGAACTTTGTTCTGTTAAACAATGCCTCCATACCCTTTTCTATTTCAAGATATAACACAATCACTTGTTGTGACTGAAATTGGAACTCAACGAAAGGAAGATGTTCTGAAAACACTAACCTCAAACATCTTCAAGCTGCTGAAGATCCCAGTTCATGGGTAAGCAGCCATTCCGTTCTACCGCTCATCACAGTTGGTATTAAAGTCCTGCGGGAAGCACGGTTAGCTACATACTCGGTCCCTTATCTCCAATTTGACTTTGTGTGATTCAGTATCCGTGCTGTTGGTACTGCTGCGGTGGACATGTGCCTGGTAGCCACAGGAGGAGCTGATGCTTACTACCATATTGGGATGCATTGCTGGGACATTGCTGCTTCTGCTATTATTGTAACAGAGGCTGGTGGTGTGGTGCTTGATACTGATGGTAAGTTGGGTTTTAAATTCAGATCTTTAATTGTGCAGGATCTCCTGTTTTGTTCCATTTAAGGCTCATATTGATTTAATAAACCAAATTGTTACCCTCCAAGGCTTTTGCCATGAGATAATTGTCAATATAAAAGAAAACGAGGGCAACAACTAGACTGAGTTCTTGTAATCCACAGGTGGCGAGTTTGATCTGATGTCCAGAAAGGTTATTGCAGCGAGTAGCAGAGCTGTCGGAGAGAGGATTGCCCGAGAGATTGAAGCCTTTCCCTGTGAGAGGGATGATGGGAAGCCCCAGGGTGTGAGTGGGAATGTAAATGGTCATCCCAGTGGGGAAAAATGATGTACCCTTGCTTTATAAATGTGAAACTTTGACAAGAACTTTCAGGTTTTCACTAAATAAAGATCTATATTGGAAGGAATTTTGTGCCTTTATTTGGATGCTAATCTCTATTTACCTCTCCTTTTTAGTGTTTTTTTTTTGGGGGGGGGGCAGCAGCACTTGCATTAAGTTAACGTTTTCAATACTCATTCATATTCTATTACTATAGTATTTGATTTTCTCCTCCAAAGACCTGTACTTGTAGTTCCCATCTTCTGGTGCTAGTTCTTTTTTTTTTTTTTTTTTTAAGCCTGACGTCTAATCCGTTAAAGTAGATAGTGGTGTCAGCATGCATAGGCTGTTAAGGTTTATTCCATGCTGAAAAGTATGTTTTGTTATGGAGCCTTCTTTGGGTGAGAGTCAGTTTAATGCCCTTGCACTCGGAAGGTGTTGGGGCTAGTGTGAGAATTTCAAAACGCCCTTTCTTTCAGTGTTCAAAATGTAATGTATAGTGTGGGGACTCATTCCTACTGGTTTGTATGATTTCTTAAAACATAAATGCATTTAGTTCAGTCATGAATTAATCCAAATAAGTTATGACTGCATGGTGTCTGGCGAAAGGCAGAATTATCCATTTTGTCATTTAAATGGATGCAATTTTTCCAAAGAACAGCTGTAGCTATGTTGGTAGGACTACAGTCCTCCTGCAATACAGTAGTGGTAGTGAGGGTTCCCAATTCTGTTCCTTGAGAGAAACTATTATGTGCATGGCCCCAGGTTCCCTGTGCTCCTTCCCATTTAGAGGTTGGAGATCTAAATGTTGAAAGCATGAAGTAAAAGTTCAGATTTAAACCCATTGTGGTCTATGAAGGGCTCAATTATTCACATGATCAAAAGGAAACAAAACCCAGCAGGTATGTGGGTCCCTAGGATAAAGATTAGGAATCCCTGTGCTAGTCAGTTTAGTGTTTGTAGATGCGATAACATTTTGAGCTGATTGGCAAGTTCCCATTTACCTGAGTGAGTAGTTGAGTCAAAAATACCCCACACTTCCAGTCACTATTTTTGTTTGATTATTTAAATTTTTGGTAAACATTTGTACAGGAAGAGCTTTTATTTGAGTGTTTTATTTTTGTATAGGTCCTGCCCTCTACTGATCCTTTTGCACTGTTTTTCCAATTCAAAGTGAAAAAGCAAGTCAATACAGAAATGTCTGAAGCATGGTTTACAATAGGGCCCCCCCCCTTATTAAATTAATTTCCATATTCAAGCTACCGATAATAGTTGAATATCCTGTTTGAACTGATCAGTGCAGCAGCTGTGTTTTTATATTGCACAAAGTATAGGTATCTGTCAGTGACACGTTGTGGTAAGGAAAGCTACTCTTAATTATTTTAATTTATTAAGTGAGATGAAACTTAATGCTTGAAATGACAATATAACCTATTGTTGTGGGAAATAAGTTTAAAAGATGAATGCTGTTAATTTTATTTAGGTATCTGCCACACTGACAAAGAGCCTATGACTGTTTAAGTTTAATCTATTAATCAAAAGCTTCAGCTGTGTTTATGAATAATACAATTTTGTTTTCAAACACTTTTCAAGAATCTGAAAGAAATATTTTCTGTATTATGAGAAGTTAATATAAGCTTTAGAATATACTTCAAGGTTAGGAGGAATGCATTTTAGCCAGACCTTTTTTGGAAAAGGTGATTCTGAATTAATTTTTTTCTTTTTACATTGATAAAGAATTTATAAATCCTGTAAATATTGTGGTGACCCAGAGCAAAGAAAGTAATAATGAAAGTCACTTCAACTCAATGGCTAATTTTGTGCACACATTCAGATCATAAATACTTGTACTGAAGTAAAATATGTTATTAAGTGAAGGTATCACTTTCAGCCTTTTATCAGCCTTGAAGCTGCATGTTTCTGGGGAATAACAGCGTTAACCTTTACAAATCCTGTTTCCAATGTGGGAAATATTTTATTCCTGGTTTTCTCCTGGTGAAAAATGAACTTGGTTCCAGAGATCCAAAGCAGCAAGTAAATGTGAAAGACCTCCAGTAGGAGAGACGGACTGTGTGCAATGTCTCCCCAGGCTGGAGAAAAAATAGCACCTGTACAAATTGTGGACAAATTGTCTAAACAAAGACAAGCAAGACAATGTGAACCAGAATGGGCCTGTGGGTATCCCTCAATTTTTTTTTAAGGGTGCGTCTGGTGCAGTGGGTTCCAGCCAGGTCAAACTCAAACAGGAAAGTCCGTATACTGGGTTTCCCCAAGACTATTTTTTTTTTTCAAACTAGTGTGCCTTTAAGGACAATGTATCTTCCATGATGAAAAAGAGAATCGTGGAGTTCCCACTGTACAGTCGGTATAATCCCACAGCCCTCAGAGGAATCCTACTCTGTTGGGCTCCTGAGCAAGGCCCTTAACCCCAACTGCTCCAGGGGCGCTGTACAATGGCTGACCCTGCCCTGCACTCTGACCCCAAGCTTCTCTCCCTGTCTGTGTCTCATGGAGAGCAAGCTGGGGTATGCGAAAAGATAATTCCTAATGCAATAAATTGTAAAGGGTTAATAAAGTAAAAGTAATGAACAGTAAATTAATAATTCAATTTCACTTAAAGAGGGTACATTTTTAAAATGGAGATTTTGCAGAATTCAAAGGAATTCACTCTCCACCCTAATGAAGGCACTTACAATTGTGTCTAATTACTAGGAAAAAAACACTAAATGTTTTTAATCTCGTTGAGTGTGGATTGTAAAGCAGGGGAGTTTCATCCAGACACCAATTTTCTGGAAAAAATACGGATTATGGCTTTTCTCTTTAGTAAGAACGTCCAGGTTGTTTGTTCGCATGTGTATTTTGTAATCTTGCCTAAATGCATTTTCCCTTTTCCCAATTTTGTCACTCGTTTCAAAATTGTATGCAGATCTCAGATCTATAAATGTATTATATTAGTCGTAGCAGAATGAGGAAACTAGGATTTTGCAAGTGTTTCCTTTAAGACAGCAATTTAGCCGCATCAGACGAACTCGTGACGTGCTAAACAGGAAGGAGAGACGGAGGTAGGAAGTTCAAAGCTCGTTGTGTTGTGATTCTAGCTTTGCTCGTTAACTCGACCTCATATCCCTTCTGTGGTTGTCTTTTTTTACCCCCAAAGGCGGTAATGTAAATTATACTGATGAATATGAATCTATTATTGTGATAGTGATTTCCCAGTTGTCTGGCCTTCGATTAGTTTCACTGCGGAGGCATAACTAGAGCACTGAGAAGTACAGTAAAGCTGACCACTGGACCAAGGAGGACAAAACTGCACTGAAAAAGGTACAGTACAGTATATGTCTGTAGCCTGGTACCACCAGCTGAAACTCGCGCACAGCAAAGCTGAATTAGGTAGTTTTGTGCATCTTTCAGTGATGCTTTGATATTGTAGTCTATATACTTAAAGAACTGCATTACTCTTTGCAACATGAAGTTGATTTTAATTACCTACAAATACGGGGTAACTAGTTCTTAGTCTGTGTTTAAGTAGGTATAGTATATGTCGAGTTTATGTGGGGTGTGAGCTACGGTGTCTTAGATCCTTAAATTTGGAATATTGTGGATACACGTTGTGGGTAATATCTATATCCTAATGCTCTTATATTTGCTCAGTTAGTCTGTTTTATTAGGAAGAAGTGTCTTAGGAACTCGGAAGTCTGTGTGCGTGAGAAAAGTCAACTAAATAATCTTATTTGGCCTACAAAACTAACTGAAATTGTGAAATAGGAATATATGTGTAAGTTGAGACATAAGGAAAGCTACTATTATTAATAGTGCATAAGATGCACTCACACCTGATTTTACATTTTGGTGTATCTTTTTTAAGTTTAAGTTTTTCTGCTTATTATTTTAAAAACGGTCTAAAATGAGCACATTATTATTTATTATGTTATTACTTTATATTTACAATAAACAATATTGATTTTGCTTCTTTTGCTCTTGAATTGTATATTAATCACATTAAAGCATACCAATGAGAAACTAAAAGGATTTGTTTTTATTTATATTTAGCTAAATTTAAATTTCAGAGACCGCTTAGAATTTCAGATAGGAAGCAGGCTAGATACATACTGTAAGTCAGCAGTCAATGACAGTATCTAATGATATTGTGTAATTTAAATGATCCTACATTTAATCTTTATGAGTTTAATATTTATTTATTTTCAATTTTGTATTTTATAAATGTTGATTTTAGATAGATAATATTACTTTATTGGCCTTATACAATTTCTTGTATTAGGAATTTGTCTTTTGGCATACCCCAGCTAGCTCTCCATGAGACACACAGACAGGGAGAGAAGCTTGGGGTCAGAGCGCAGGGTCAGCCATTTATACAGCACCCCTGGAGCAGTTGGGGTTAAGGGCCTTGCTCAGGGGCCCAATAGAGTAGGATTCCTCTGCCGGCCGCGAGATACAACTGGAAACCTTCCAGCCACAGACACAGATCCTTAACCACAGAGCCACCGCTCCGCCCTTTAGCAGTTATTCCTGAGATTTATTTTCCTTTACAGATAACAGAATAAGAGTCATTTTGTAGATTTGCCATTGTCAAAGGATGCAGTTCAGTTTTTTGGTTGGGATTCATTTTAATGTTTTAATAAGAAGTCATTTATTCATATATTCATTTGACATTTAGAAACTTTGGACAAAATGGCTGACCCTTGGAAAGAGGCAATGGACCATGCAGTGGCTGCTGCAAGGGATGCTGGAGGAGTGAGTTGTCGGCTTGTACTTATTTCACACATAACTGTCCAAGCAAGTATAACCTGTCCCTCCCAGATGTATGATATTTCAGTCTACTAGATTTTCCTGCTAACACAAAATTAGAACACTTTCGTTTCTTAGTAAGAAATTCTTAAAAATGGTATTATGTGTTGTTTTTTTCTAAAATGTGCCTTCTTGATGTTTATTTTGAATTAAAAAAGCAACCTTTTTTGTTCACTCCAGGTTATTAGAGAAGCTTTACAAAAGGAAATGAAAATAATGCATAAAACTTCTTCAGTGGACTTAGTAACAAAGACGGACCAAAAAGTGGAACAGCTGATTATAACAGCTATCAGAGAGAAGTATCCATCCCACAGGTGGGTATTCACTAAATGAATTTAATTGGTAGTTAGAACAGCACAGAATAATAATGAAAAATAGAAAATATAATTAGAGTTATATTTTGCTGATTAATATAATTATTTTTTTTAATTGAATATATTTTCCCATGTGGCTGACCATTATTGTGTTGATAGCTTGTGCTTGAATTTTATACTATGTTATATTATTTCTTATGCAGTTCCCAATACCTTTTGAAGTCTTATTCTTCTTTCTCATCTCACTGTGAAAGATAGTTTCTCCTCCACAATAATGTCATCATTTTTCCTTTTCTGTTCATTTCAGTTTTATTGGTGAAGAGTCTGTTGCTGCTGGACAGCCCTGCATACTGACAGACAATCCCACTTGGATCATCGATCCAGTCGATGGCACAACAAACTTTGTGCACGGGTTGGCATTTAATCTATAGTTCTACTGTTCTAACTCTTAATTTATTCAGTGTCTACCTGAGGCCTTTTACTGAGTGAATGTTTTGCCCTTACCTTAACTCCATCTTTTACCAAAAATCAATATGTCTCAGTTTCCTTCCTCATCTTTTCATATCCCATGTTATCTTTTCAAAATGGGGTTATGTGGTATGCTTTGGTTTTTAAATAGTTGATGTCAGTAGTGCATAATGTTACATTGTTTCTACATTGCCTTGGCTTCTAATAATGCTATTGGTGTAAGGCAAGTATCTGAAAAGGAAAAAAAAAAAACCATTGTGTTTTAATTGGTGAGTCTTCTTCAGATGTCAGAAGAAATATGTACGAGAATATGAAAAAAAAGTATTTCCTCATACTCTTCCTACTTTTGAGTGTGGAATGAGTATCTACTTCTTCCTTTGAAGTCTACAGCTGCCTACCTCTTCAATGTATCTGAAATACTAGTATTGAGTAAGGTCTCTGTGTAGGGCTAAGGCTTGTTGATATTGTACAGGAAGTTGCCAGCTTACAAATGTGTTTTGTTCCTTAAGTTCCAAAGATGTAAGTTAGTTGTTTGGAACCCATAGAAACAATGTTATAAGTGCTGGGTATGTTCCTAGGCTAGCCCACAAAAGCCTGTTTAATCTTTTGTGGGCTAAAACATATTGCGAGTGATGTGTGATGAGCTGTGCAAAGTGAAATATTACAAAACAGTACGGTTTAAATACAAGTAATTAAGTAGTAGGACAATAAAATTTAATAGTTTTATTTACCTTGATTGTTGGTGCCACCTTAAACTTTGGGAGTGGTACAGTATTTCTTGTGGAAAAGCAAGTTTCATAATGAAAGGATGAGAAGGACTTCTGTGGAGGTTCTGAAGGGGAACTCTGGGTGCTTTCAAGGACTGGTTCATTTCTGGTTCACTCTGGTTCATTTGATGGGGGGAGGCATTTAAAAATCTGGGGAAATCTGGACAGTAGACTTCTTTTTCTGAAATTCCTTGCAGCATCTGAGGGCATTTGAGACGTCATCCGTTCTCTGAACACTTTATGATGTTTAATTTCACGTCAGAGCTTACAAATTTCCATTTTTCTTATAAAACTGTATCACTAGCATTCTTCATTTCATCATCCATGATTAGTGTCATTTTCGGGAGACCACACAAATGGAAGGAAAACACAGTGTTTTGACTCTAAACTTACATACTCTACATACAGTATGTGGCAACATAGTGAACTAAGTGCAATTAGTAGTTCCTGAAAGTGACTGGTTCACATGTGTGGGCTGGTGCTGCTATATCCAAACAACTCAAGTAAAATCATCTTATGAAGCTTTGTTTATAAGTCAATTGTAATTCTAGGAGTGTCTGCAAGGTATCCACTTGCAGCATTTACAAGTAGTAACATCAAAGTTAATAGAAAACAGCAGGTTTTCAAATTCAGGGGCCATTTAGAAGTTCTAATTTGTCTGTATGTTCTGTATTTTTTATTAGGTTTCCCTTTGTTGCAGTGTCCATTGGGTTTGCTGTCAACAAGGAGGTAACAATTCTTTTCAATTTCAAAGCAAAGCAAAGATGTCCTGGACGTGAAGCTGAATTAGCTGCATCTGAAGCCTATTGAATAATTCACATTTAGTAATTTAATTCTCTGTTGCGTTTTTATCATTTATAATTTTGCTCAAATATGAAAATATGAAAATGCATAAGTAAGTGCAACACAGAATACAGATTTAATCTAAAAGAGCATCTAAGACAGTATTTACCTTTCCCTCAAATAGAATTTAAATCTATATACATGAATGTTATGTCATTTAATAGCTGGGAAGTTTAAGATATTTTAAGATAAAAAAAATATCTTGAAATGTGTTTTGCAGCTGGAATTTGGAGTCGTTTACAGCTGTGTTGAAGATAAAATGTACACTGGCCGGAAAGGGAAAGGGGCATTTTGTAATGGTGTCAAGCTGTCAGTATCAAATCAGGATGGTAAGTGGGAAATATTTTAAACACGTAGGAGACATAAACAAGGAGGAATTCATGACAGAACTCAACAGCTTTACGGTTCCTTTAGTACTGGCAATACAGGCTCCCAGAATATGTTCTCAATGATTGATTTAGCATGGGGTCACTGGGGAGGTCTAATATGTGACTAATAACTACAAAATTAAGTTTGAAGTATTGTAATTTATTTGAGGACTTGAGTCCTGTTTCAGGCATATGGGCAGCAAATGACCTAAAAGGCTGTGCTCCATGAAGTAGCTTTTATAGTAGATAAACAGGATAATAGATTAATAGATTTTCTATTTTTCTTTCATAGACGTTAAGCAGTCCATTATCATCACTGAGCTGGGATCTAACAGAGACCCAGAAGTAGTCAGCAAGATCTTCTCCACCATGCAGAAAATCTTGTCCATTCCAGTACATGGGTAAGTTTTAGTGTAGTTTTATGATTCTTCACGTTTTTGAATGATCATAATGCCAGAACTGTGTAGGGGAGAGTTGACAAAACATGTATTTTTGCACACAACAGGCTTTTGTTGGGGGCTGGTCCCTCTATTACAGGGTAGTTCAAGTATGACTGGGTACTGGTTTCCTCTTCCGCTTGACCTTATTTCCATTCCAGATGAGTAGTCCCAGAAGTCTGTTGTCTATTTTCTTAAATATATTTTTTCTAAAAATTATCTCCTGATTTTTTTTTCTTTATTGCGCATACACATTTGGAAGGTAATGAAACAATATAAGTTTACTTCTGCAGCGTGACTGTCTTACTATACGTGTACCGCCTTCTTCTCACAGTTCTACTTTATTAATACATTCTGTTGTTTCTCCCCAGTCTGATGTGCAGAACATATACATGCTTTATTAGAAGTACTTTCTATTTTTGTTACAGTAACCTCAAGTTGATGAAAAGATTGTAGGGTATAGATTTTTTTTTATGTGGATGTGCCTTTTGATTTTGAGTTGCTGTGTGAAAGTCATTTCCTTGATAGTATTGAATGCTGCTTTCTCAGGCTTCGAGGGGTGGGCACTGCAGCAACAAACATGTGCTTAGTGGCTTCGGGGGCAGCTGAGGCCTACTTTGAAATTGGAATCCACTGCTGGGATGTAGCAGCTGGTGCTGTCATTGTGAAAGAGGCTGGTGGTATCTTACTAGATGTGGATGGTATGCAAAAATTATTTTCCCTTACCTGCAAATAGAAATGAAATATAACATTTCAGTGAGAGAACTATTATAGATTAGACATGTTAATCAATTTCCTTATTACAAATATTGTCACCATTTTTAATGGTATATGGCTGGTTTTAGATGATGCAGCAGATTGCTGTCTTCCTAAGTTTATAAGGTTTATAATTTAGATACAAAAAAGAATAACTGTCAAACATAATGCTTAATTTCTTTTATATATAAGGAACTGTTTAACTCTTTGAAATTCTATGCAGAAATATCTATTTCTTACTTGAATTTACAAATACAGGAACAAAGCATAATGTAGGTACTTATCTAGATATAATTATAATTCTTAGTACTGAACACCTTGTAGTTTCAGAAAGTAATTATGTGTTAGCTTCAAGAATGTTGTTGTCAACATCATCTTGAAGACAGCAAAGGTAGAAAAGGTTTCTGATGCCTTCAATATGTTTTATTTTTCAGGCGGGCCTTTTGATCTTATGTCCCGAAGAACATTGGCAGCCAACAATAAAATAATTGCAGAGAGAATTATAAAAGAAATTGAAACGTTTCAAGTTGAAAGAGATGATGTATGAAAGTAAACTTATTTTATAGTTTCTCTTTGAAAGACTTAATTAATATTTTGTGTTTTAGCTTGAAAATACTTTTTATTTATTTCTTAAATTGGCATAGTGGTTAGGACAGTGGACCCTTGATTAGAGGACTTTAAAACATACTTCAGTCAGATTGTTCCAGTAAATGCCATAATATGAAGCATAAATAATATTAAAGATATAAATTATTATCTTGGATGTCACCAAAGATGTGTAATACGTTACCTGTTTAGATAGCACTCATGTTCTTTGGATTTTATATATGTTAAATTAAGCCCTGTCACAACATTTTTTTTACTGTGAAGAACACATCTGTCATTAGTGCAGATTCATGCTTAATTAAACATTCTGCATTTTTTAAATTTGGTATACAGTTCATTTACTCTGTATTTCTGTCAGTATAGTTTCTGGAGTATTTCTGAGTGCTGATCACTCAATACCATGTTCTGTTATCAAGTAAAAAAACAGTGATGACTTGTTAAATCACAAACATATGCTATATGCTCAACTACCCTGATTTGGATGCAACAGTGCAAAGGTGTTTTTGAAACAACACAGTTTCTTTATGCTTTTATCTTAAATTCAGAAATAAGTTTAATAGAATTCACTGTTCTGGTTCAGGAATTAAAAATAAATTATGTAAAATTATTTTTTTTTCTTTTTGAATGTACATGAATTATTTGGTATTTAAAAGGATCAAAGAACACAGCTAAGGTAAACGTCATGCAGTTTACATTATCTTAAAAGAAGGAAAACATTGGTATCTTTGTACCCAATTAGAAATCTACACTATTTTTTCCTATTATAATGTAATCTATTATAATGAAATCCCATATATTACTTACCAGTATGCATTTTTATGTGTTTTTTGAATTCTTGATATATATTAAATAGGTATTCATTTATTTTTACTTTTGCTCTTTTACTCCACCTCATGGAATTGATCTCTACTTGTTCCTTTGCAATATGCATGTTTATGCACCTCTGCTCCAAACTCTTCATACAAATTTGATAATTTCACGGGTGTTAGTTTTGGTGCTTTGTGTTCAATGATGTAGTGTAGCACTTATGCTGTATTTGAGTTATACTTAAAACTTTTAAGTGCAAAATGTATTTTATTTTGTAGAATAATGAAAAAGTTTTTACATCACATAATGTCTCCCAACATCTGAGTTTGAAGCCACAAAATGCATTGATGTTAAAGGACTATAAGTTTTCTTTTTTCCTATTTAACTTGTAGACCACATGCAAAACTCATTATCATGCAGTCTGTTTTCACATTCAAATTGTTTTATTGACTATGCTGCATGAAATAATCTGCATGAAAACAACAGACACACACATTGACTATTTTACAAAATATCAGGTAATTCAACAAAAAGTCAACATCTCGTATATGTAATTTTCCCATTTGGACTGAATCTATTGTGTATATAATATTTAGTGAAAGTATTTTCAAGTGTCTCTGTGACCTTGAAGTGGTTAGAAGATTGATATATTTTGAAATGTTAAAGCAAGCTTACTTGTCTTAAAAATGTATAAAATTAAAACTGCACAATTATAATGCCAGGATTCTCCGAAAACTTACCAAAACAGAAAAAGTACTATTTTATTCATATGATGATCAAAATAGTTGTAGATGGTACCAAATTTACACCATGCAATGAATCCATAATTTGCTGCCTCATTAATGAAAGCTGAGTAGCTAAAACAGGAATAACCCATTAAACAAATGATCACAGGTTTCTTGCCGTCTAAAAATGTTATTTTAAGACATGTAAAGAAACTGTATTTTTTAATTGTTTTTTAAAAAATATATATTTTAAATAGAAAATTACCAGCATTAACTTAAAATATGCATGACACAAGAAAGTATTTAACAGTTTCCTAGTGGAAGAACTAATTAAATAACATTTATTCATTGAGCACCAGCAATTGCAAGTCTGTAAGGAGATCATGCTGCCTCCTCTCTGTTGAAGCAGCATGTGCAGACTCAGGGAACCTTGTAGATGAAAGTCCTGATAAGGTCTTCTTCAGATTTCTCTTGTCTGGCATTAACTTCACTTCCTGAATTAGCTTCTGTTGGATTAAAAAAAATGCACAAATTACTAAAGTCTTCATGTTTTCTGCAAATACCCCCACAATCCCTCGGATTCAAGGTGTATTCATAAACTACAAAACTCATTAGTGAACGCAAAGCTTTTCTGAGTATAATGGTAGACTATAGAGTCATGGAACTTGATTACAAACTTTGAAACAGATAAATGTTAAGTTATGGTTTCGAGGGTAGAATTTATAAAACCTTTCTAGCTTCAAATAGACTGTTGAGGTTTACCAAAATGGCAATTGATACCTTGTCCGCAGGGGGGTTAGGGTTAGACAGAGCCTAAGCCTGAAGGCATAGAGTGCAAGGCAGGATCGTACCACAGACTGGATGCTGGTCCACAAACACATGAATTCAACTCATGATTGAACTTCGACACAGTGCTTAACTGTAAAAGTGCTTAAGTGACTAAATATTCACAATTGAAGAATTATGGTAAGAATGTGTTAAAAATGCAGATATCTTTATAACTTTTATTCCACAGTGTTGTAGAGTCCTGGGCAAAAGATTTGTTGGAAGTGGTGTTCTATTCTTGAATACCTATAAAATGCTACTTGTTACTGATCTGATGAGCTTCAGTGTTACTAAGCTGTTGAACTGTTATTTATGTTGTAAAGTAAAGGATCATTAGTCTGCTGTACACTTTGTAGAGTGTGGAAAAGAATAATTATGCCATTGAAAGAAATGATTTATGACTTTGTTTACCATACATTTTGCAAGGTCCTTAAACTTAATGGTTTGAGACTGTGTTAGTCGTAAGAATAACAGAAGTAGAAGGACAAAATCTAACATTAGTAGCAGATAGTAGTTTTGAAGATAAAGGGAATTTTCTATACTGTTTCCGCAGATAAACCAAGTACTACACTTAGCAAAGGTTTTCCTCTATTTTTCATTTGCTTTACAATAGGTTAAAAACACCTGTCACCCAGTCAAGGAGGCCCAGGAAGCCTAATTATTATGTATACCTTTTTTTGTTCATCTAATTGGCTAAGACCTTTCTCCAGGGAAAATTTACTGCCACATTATAAACTTTCCTTTTTCTGTATGTATCTAAAGTAAACTTTTATTATTGGACCCATGAGAGTTTTTATGTGAAGTTAGTTTACTTACATAACCCTGGAAGTGGTTATACTGATAAACTCTTATATATAGCCTACTACAGTAAGCAATGAATCAGTGTACTGTATTGCAGTGCCCCAAAAATAGTCTAATTCCAACAGGTTGAAGTACTGACTGTAGAAAAACTACAGTATATAAAAAGATCTACAGTTAGTGCTTCATAATTACAATATTATTAAACATAATATAAGGAAGTTGTTAAACTGTTGAATCTGCTTCAATGGGATGAATAGCAATGTTTTGCAACTATTCTGCATTAGGCCAAGCAACCAGTGATATGGTTCTATTTTATCACAGTAGTATAATTACTTCAACATTGATCATTTTCATAAGGCGATATGTTAATTATTGCACTCCACTCTCTTCATGACAATTTTTTTTAGAAGTTCTCTATTCATTGTAGGTTTCATTTCACACCTCTCGTCTGTCCCCTGCTCCCGCCTCTCGTTCCTCCTCTCTCCAAGCTTTTGTTCTCCTGCTACATTACCTTTGCTTACTGCCGTGTCTTTCGCACACCTGGAGAAGGCTCCATGGCCGAAATGTTGTGTTTTCTTTCTTCTCTTTTCAGCATGGAATAAACCTATTACTTGATATGTTAATTATTTTAATATGCTGCTCTGTTTGTGGACTACAGCTTCATTCAATCTGGTGACATTAATACTGGTTGTAATTCAATCCTCAAAAATTTGTCTCAGTAAACATTAGAAATATCTTACTCGTCTTAGTCGAAGTTGATAATGTGCCGCAAGTTCTCCTTCCATTTTCTCAGGGACAGAAAGTTTCCAGCGCTGTAATTCAGTAGCAATTTCATCAATAGTGAACATCACTGCAGGATCCAGGGAATGGTTATTTATGAGCTCCACCAAATATTCTTTATAATGCAGTCTGAAAAATGTTTTAATCAGGAAATGAATTAGAATAAAAAATGACATATTAAAATATACCACAGACATGGCATATTTATATTTTATACAAGCATTCTTTTAATAGAAATGGAGCTTTACTTATCATCTGAAGGTCCTTCTACATAAACAAAGATTTTATCGGAAAAGTTACAACGGTGTTATGCAAGAGCTGTGGGCATCACTTTTTATCCAATCCTATATTTGGGGGTAGGCAACTCCATTGATAAATCACTGTTGGTACTGTATGTGATCTATATAGCATTTAGTATATTTAGTATATTATATAGCAGGTCTCTGGATAAGTAAATTAATAGATGCACATAAAGCGACAAACTGTTTTATGGTACAAAAAAATGGAAATTTAGAAATTTTAATGAAATTCAAATACATCAGTGATGCTGAAACTTACTTGCAGTATCCTGAATAAAGCACTGGAGCTCGTCTCCCACACTGCTCCTCTACCACCCCATCACTTGTTTCTTTATGTTCCAAAACAGTGCACATTCCTTAAACACACACCAAAACACTGAATGCAGTCTTACTTCTAAACATTTAAAGAACATATTTTCCACAGATGATCTGTAAAATTATATTAGTGTTTGTATGTGGCCATACAAATCAATCACTAAGCACAACTGTACTGCAATCTACCTATGAAAAACATCCACTTTGGGCATGACGTATCAAAATAAGTAAATTACTTCAATTCACACAAATGTGAATAATCTATTTAAAGCCTGGTGCAAAACAGTACAGTGCAATACCTGCACTTGGTTTTAGGAAAAAGAACAGGGGTCCTAGACTTGCTTAAACATTCTGCAGTTCCTTTAGAAAACAAAAGCTTCTCCTTTTATCATTTTGATCACTGATTTAGAATAACTTTAGCCAACACTGTTGTCTAAACCGTATGTCCACACTTTACAAACACACAGCACTCATAAGCCTCGTAATAAAACTTCTACTAACGGTGAACACTACCTGTGGAGCTTCTTTTATCCTCAGCTCTGTTTTCAAGAGAGTAAGGTATGTTGTAATTCTGTAAGAAAAAAAATGTTACAGAATATTCCTTTTCTGTCTCAAGAACCAGCAAGAAATAACTGTAACAGCACATACCCTAAGAAGCTGCTGCAATCGTTTCACAGGCCAGTCTCGTAGATGGTAGAGGCAGTTTCTGGGGTGATGCGCATGAAGACCCTTCAAATGGCATTCTTTTGAGAAGCTGCAAGCCTGACGAATGAGGACAATCACACACTGAAAATAATGTTTCTTTCACGAATGATGCGCAATTTAAATGTTCTCTATTGTCCACATTAGGAAAATAATTGTTCAATTAAATTCTGCTTTATTGGCACATACTTTTTCATTAAAAATAAACAACAAGGGCCCTTCATATTTCCCTGTACTGAGGTGGCTGTTCAATATCTTCAGATAGTAGCAGAGTACTGATTATGTAACGGATCAGACAAAAAGCTGAGAAACTTTAAAAATAGCTTTTGTAACGAGAAAAAAGTGAATTTCTTAATACTTTTATAGACAATGCCACGGATATATAGTTTTAATTGAAAACAATTTGCAACAGTCCTATATACTGAGCATTCAAATACACATTCACTCATTTTCTAACCGCTTCATCCAATTCAGGGTCCTGAGCAAGCTAGAGCATATCCCAGCAAGCAAGGTGGGGTATCCCAGAGGGGGGCACCAGTCCATCACAGGGCATACACACACCACAGGCAGTTTTCCCAGAACCCAATTAACCAACCAGTAAGTCTTCGGACTGTGGAAGGAAACCGGAGCACCCTGAGCCAACTCATGCGAACACCGGGAGATCATACAAACACTGCTCAGACAGCATCCCAGATCTGGAATTGAACCCAGGACCCCAGCTCTGCAAGGCAGCAATGCTAATCACTGCGCCTCCGTGCCACAACAAAATAAACAGATCACTTATAATTGCAACAAATCCAAAACATTATAATTAACATAGGAAAATAATATTTTTATACCACGTAAACTGACACTTTGTCTAACATACTGTAAATGGCATACAGTCGGTAAATAATTATGTTGAAAAACATTCGGCATTAACAGGAGAGCTGCTACTAGTCTCTGACTTTCATAGTAGAAGTGACCACTGCTGGAAGCAATACAAGCTGTACATCTGTAATGCAGCCAGAAGCCAATGGTCACATGTGTGAATATGCATTGACAACTATACTCATCCCAAAAGCACTGAAAGTAAAATAAACCTTTAGACAGATGAATCCTGGTGCATACTGCTCATTCTGAATGAAAAATAAAGTAGCAGCAGCCCCAGAAAATGTTTCAAACAGCAGTGCCCTGTCCCCGTTGTTCAGTGTAGAGGTGGCAGTGTTGTACTGTTAGTTTCTTTCTCTTAGTTTGGACAAAGGCTGAGGTTTTGTACTTCACGAAATTCAAGAATTCAATAATTTCACAGCTCCCTTAAGAGTCAGAGTTAAGGACAACTGAAATGGTGAAATGAAACTGAGATGGAATGGAACTGGGAATTGCAGATTACCAATAAATGAGTTCATCATGCAGTAATGAAAACTTGCACTGCTGTACAATGACACAGTACTTCTCTAGCCATCTATCACCTACTATCTATTGACAATCTGTCTACAAATATTTTGCAAACAGAAGTCTTTTATGTTGTCTACAGATTCAGATCTTTCAAGAACATGTAAAAATGCTATCAAGTACTAATAGGTGGCAGATAGCAATCCATTTGAACTGGAGGGAGGCTTTAAATTCTAACAGTATATACATCTGCACACTGATTGTTTCAAGGCTATTTTATATTGAAAGTAAAATCAAGATTTAATATTTTGCAGAATTTTCATACATCTGTAGTACTTCTACAACCCTTTTTTTGTGAGGGACGAAAAGGTAAGTTAAAATCAACACTGAAAAGAATATAAACAAATCAATCACATGCATTTCTACAATTCTATTGCTTGTGCCCAAAATGGTGGATAAGACACATAAGAAATCAGCACCAATCTGAAGAACACAACACCTACAGATCCCACTCTGAATGGCTTGTTGCATCCTCCACAAAACTCATGTTGGCATTGGGTGCACTTGAAGTGTAGACAGCCTCCTTTTGACAGATAGAATCGAAATGTACAATTTGGACAATCTAAAAAAAGAATAAATCCTAGTTAATATTTAACCTTAAGCTAATTAGAAAAAAAAACACTTCAAACAGAGCTAAAAATGTTCACCTTGCTATATAAAAATTGGGTAAAACATATTCCCCAATAAATTATTTGTTATTTAGATCTAAAGAAATCAGGCTTTCTGGTAACTCACAAATCTGTGAATATCTATATGTAGAAAGAAACTGAAGTAATTTAATGTGAAATGAACATTTGTTTTATTAGCTTTGCTGCATGGTTATTACTTTATTGCCAAGCTATTTAAGTAAAAATTAAAATATATCATCTAATGCTCAGTATTCCCTGCCTATAGGGAATGTAATTATTTTTACCTTTTATAATTTGCTTTCCATAGCAAGCTGGGTTCAGAACCCCGTTTTTAGATTAATTGATAATTCATATTTTGCAATTCTTACACATAACATTACACCATAACAAAAAAGTAGCTTTCTTGTCAGAACTCTATATTAACCTGCAAGTGCGATGTGCCACAGTCAATTTCCCCTTAAGCTGTGCACCTTCCATTTCTCTTGAAAACAAAAGACTCCTAAATTGTGCCAGCATTTACTCTTCTTATGAGATACAACAGACTACATATTTGATTGCTTTAAACCACCAGCTTAACTTCAGATTGCTTACCTATTTCATTTCTGCTAAGGAAATGCTCAAGACGATCTGCTTGATATTCAGGATTGTTGTAGAGCTGCCATTCTCTGAATTTCTCACAAGTTATTCCTTCATGCTGTGGAGCCCACTAAGAAAAAGACAAAATAAATTAAAATGGAACTCCTATACATTCTGTTACACTAACCATGAACAGAGAATGGGATTATAACTGTAGAATTAGAGTGACCATGGCACATGTATAAACCTTTTGTTTTTTCAGGTTTTGCATGGCTGTGTGAGGCTGGGTTTAGGGTTATTACAGCATAACTCCAGTTGTTCAATTTATCATGAGCATCTTAAAAAAAACGTATCACTCAATTAATCAATTATTTGTTATCATCAATCATTAATTAGCATAATGAATGTAACTGTACCATTTCTGATCAATACAATTCAGTGTATCTACTACAAAAGATAGTGATGTTCTTGATAACTTAGTGAATTTGTTGCAGTTTTAAGTGTTAAGTTTCCTTTGATGCTCATTATATTTATTTAAACAAATTTAATAAGGTTGAAATTGGAGAAAATGCCTATGAGTTGGTGACATTCAGGTCACTCCATAAAGCCAGTTTACATGCCAAAGTGACAAGAAGGAAGCCATTACTGCAAAAAACACATCACATATCCCACATGGAGTTTGCAACAAAGCATTCACAAAACTGCATAACTGTGGGAAGAGGTTTTGTCAGATGAAAGAAAAACTGAATTTTTCTGGTCTCATTTCAAAGTGTTACATTTGGTGCAAACCCAACAAAGTCCATCACTCATTCAAGACCATTCAACAATCATACGGATTACTGTCAAGCATGATGATGGCAGCACTGTGGTACAGGGCTGCTTCTCATCAACAGGGAGTGGGAGAATGAGAAGAGTGTGAAGACTGAGACAGAAACGGAGGGAGTAAATTACAGCAAACCTTAAAGCAAAACTTGTTTCAGAATGCTAACGATATAAAACTGAATTAACAAAAATTCACCCTTTGGGAAGATAATGACACAAAGCACAAGGCCAAAGCAATACTGCTGTGGCTTAACAAAACAGAAGTGAAAGCCCTCGAGTGGCAAAGCCAAATGTCTCAATTGAACAGAACATCTCAAGCAAGACTTTAAAATTTATTTTCATCAAAGATTTCCATCAAACATGACAGATCCTGAGCAAAAGACTCACTGCTGTAATTCATGCTTCCATCAGGTTTTAACTTAGGGGGTGAATGCTTCCACAATCAACATACAGTATTTCAGTTTTTGATTAAAAATATTAAACAATACAATTTCTATATTTAGTAAACTGGGTAAATATTGGGTAATTATTCAGAAAACTGATATAAAGGATGCCATCAAGAACTGTTATAGAAGAACAGAATAATGCCTAATTAGACCATACAGTATCTGCAAAACTGTATATGGTTTTCTACACTATTAAACAGATCACGAATATCTAGAGAATAACAAGTCTCATTCCAAGACTTAAGAAGATGAACTATGAAGACGCACTAAATGAATTGAATCTTTCAGAATCTGTAAAAGATACCTAAAGGGCAATCTCATTAAGGTCTTCAAAACGTTAAATGGAAACAATAAGGCTGATCCTTGCTGTAAGTATGAACAGAACCTTGGGACACATTCGAATTTTGCACAGAGAGTCACTGAAACATAAAACACATTACTGGAACAAATAGTGGAGGTGGAGATGCTGGGAATTTTCAAGTCTAGACTTGATGTTGTGATACTGTGTTAAAAATACACATTGATGGGTAGAACATCCTGTTCTCCTAATCAAACTTTTACATCCTCTGAAGCTCACCTGCAGTTATATTCAATCCAAAATGTTGGTATTCACATTAAAAAAATATTATTTTGAAATTTAAGCAAAAAACAAAATGCAATGTAAGAAATTACAGTTCATTGTTTTCAACTAAGGTTGCTTTGGATTGAAGCACTGCATGTATCTCCTGTAAAAAAATCATCTTCAACTGGAGATCACAAACTGACAGCAATGTTCAAAACATAGAAATCAAACCACATACTGTACCTGATTGAAACCTTTGTTTCAGTCACATATTGTCAAACATTCTTTTAAACTTGAAATGTATAGGAAGAGGAGGGGTGGAAATTATGCTTCACAACCAGATTTTCTGCTTCCAGTTTAGCTGCACAAACCTTTTAATGTCCTGGACAAACAGGTTTGTCTTCACAGTGGAATGTATTCCAATTTAAAAATCAATTCCTTTTAATTCACACTAAAAATAATACAGTTATTTATACAGTTACAGTTAATCTTAATAACTTTTTTGACACTGCCCTGCCAATTACTATATCCCTATTTATGTGAGCATATAAACAAAGAGATGTTAATTTCCTTAAAAATCTATGGTCAAAATTTAAGAAATAAATTGATTGTTAAATGAGATGCCAGAATACAGACTGGAGTTCAAGAATTTCTGTTTTATTCAGACTTACAGGAGACTTGCATTGATAGCAGGTGCTTTTCCCACAAGAAGGACAGTCCATCCGTAGTCTGTCAGCTTCGTGCAGAAGTCCAAATGAACACTGGAAGGAAACACAGCACTTTGTAACTTTAGTTGTATTCTGTGTTTTGCAGAGAGGGAAGAGTAAAGGGGGAGGTTTCCACAACATTTCAACTTGATCAGATTGCAAAGAAACTATCACCAGGCTTAAAGCACACCTTGAAACAGTAAAAAATAAAATTAATTACAAATCCAGTTATATTTCAGATCACTTCTGTTTAATTATAAAATCTAACATGAGAAAATGAGTTCATTTAGTCACATACTTTGGATTGAACAAGTAATGAAAAAGGCCTTCTTTTCATTACATTATATAACTTACCTGTGCATCTCTACTAAAGGACCAAAGAACTATTACAATACAAGATGAGATGGCCAGTTATAGCCTCAAATATCCTAAAATAATAAAAACATGCTGAACTGTATAGAAAAAGCTAAGCTATAGAATTTTTATTTAAATAATACAAAAATATTGACACACGACTATTTTTTATACTTAAGTTCCCTGTAACATACTTGATATGTTGTGGATTTTTTCTTTGATTTTGATTCAATTCTTCATTTATTTTTTATATAGTTCCAGTCTATCATTTGATGCTAATAATATTAATGTTATTAAATAAAACAAATAAAGATAGTCCTCTGTTGGTCTAAACATTAAATAAATTCTACAGTCCAGACATCACTGGCTTTAATCTAACCTTTCACATTATTTGACTGTAGTCTTACCCTACAAGAGGTGCACACCAAACGCTGTCTATTTTGTCCAATTTCTAGTAATACGATTGAAAATGTTTACACACTCTTCTAATCAGGAGTCTTATATGGAAAAATTAAAATGTGACTTTTTAAACAAAAATAACTTATTGTTTTAAAGTCAGTCTGGATAAAGGAATAAGTAAGCATGATCTTCGGTGAAAATAAAGCCTACATATAATAAGAAGCAGTTGTATACAGTATATACACATTGAATATGTTTAAAGAATTTCCTACTTTACAATTTTTTACATTTGTGATGAAAAAGCAAAACATATAAATCTTACAATTGAACTAAATATTCAAAATACCATGCTGAAACAAGGAACTGTTAAAAAACTATGCAACAGTGTTTAGTAAAGAAGACAGCAGAGAGTGGCGAACATTTTCAAACGTTTTGAAAGAAAGGAGTTAAAACAGAAGGCACTTACATGTGCACACCAGCGGAAGTTGGGCATCTCTTGCAGTGTTCGGTCTCTCAGTTTTCTTTGAAATAACTCATGAATTTCTGGTTCCAAGTAATGCCTGATCTGTTAAAGAAACATTTTGCTGTACTGAAATGTTACCAGATTTTCTACAAGTTGCAGAAGAACAATGAAGTACCAGAGACTCTTAAATACTGAAACATCCTTAATTATTACAGGTTTGTTTATAAGACAAAATCAATAAATTACACATTTATTTAGATCATTTGTACTTCATTTCTAATATATCTTAATATTCCAAAAATTCTGATGTTCGCAGATGGACTCTATTAACATTTCCTCAGAGTTCTTCCTCCAGCAATTTCACTGCAATGTTTACAGCAATGTTTCCATGTGCACCACAATGTCAGATTCTGCTTTATCAATCAGAAAGAAGATGCTTTAGTAGTAATTGCTTAAGCAGAAACAAATTATTGATTACTTCACAGTTGATCAAAAATTATTATCACAATATTCATATTAATTATATTGGTATATTCATGTTATTGTTATGATTTAATATATTGACTAAGGTTCCAAAATGTTACACTTCTGTACAAAGCAGGTACAAGTTACAAAGCAGGTCATTTTCTATTTTTTCATAACCTTTATTAAAAAAAGCATTTAATATAGATTGTATTAAATATAACTGCATATTATCAAGACTTCTGTCCTTGTCTATAATAGTGAAATTGTTGAATTCCATAGATATGGATTTAGACAATTAGCACACAAGGATTTTCATTTGATGCAGTAGATACCCTTTGTAATATCTATCAGGAAATGTGCCCCAGCTTCAGGAGCATCCCTTATAAGCAACTCTGACCTGTATGTCCAAAAGATTGAAGTAATCCATCATATCTTCTGTGCATCCGCTTCCATTTACATTAGGCATGTTGCAAATGGGGCAGACCACATTCACAATACTCTTTTCCTTAATGACCGAAGAGAAGTAAGCCTTGAAACAGCCTTCGCAGATAGCACAGGAACAGTAGGTCATGGTGACGATCTTTTGAGAAAAATATGAGAAGAATTTCTTACAATGAGGCACAAATGGGTAACAATGTTGCCTTGGATAAAGCAGAAACCTTCCATCCATATGTTAACTGGATATGTCAAGATATTTCAGAAATCAACTTCCTAAGGGGCATGGAGATTTAATTAACCTTTTAGTGCAAATAAGATAGCCCTTTAGTAAATGAATCTGAGATATGGAATCAACATCATGGAAAACCATTCAAAATCCTCAAGGGAACCGACAAAGTCAACACAATAAACGTCTTAAGAATGAACAGTGAAACACAAACCAAAGCACACAAGTGGAAACTGCAGTATGTGGAGGTGCAGTTAAAACTGGAGCAGGAGTCATTTCTTCGTCCAAAGAGTTGGGAATGGGAGTACTGAACAAGCTACCCAGTCAAGTTGTTGAACCTCATACCCAGATGTCTTCCAAGAAACAGATCATTGGATAAATAAGATACCAAACAGGCTAGATGTGACAAATGGCCTCCTCTCATTATATCCTTAAGAAAAGCACAAAGGTTTTCACTGCATACAAGACTACTTAACAACGAAAAAAACTGAATATCTTTTTAAAGGGCATAACCCCCAGCTGGACAGATGTCAGCCACGGTACACCACAGGCGTCATTTTTAGGTGTACTGCACTTCTTCCTGATCAATCCCAAGGATATTGATTCTGGTATGGTTAGAAAACTTGTTAATTATGTCTTGGACATAAATATGGACTGGGCTGACACCTGAGAAATGAAATGTAAAATGATCAAATGCAAAATGACCCACACAGGAACTAGGAGTACACACTATGTATCTTGCATGTATGATTCTAAGAAGTAGGAAGGTATCCATAAAAGGGATCTGATTTCTGCTCCATGGTGTTCAGCCAAATGTCAACAGAGATATGACTGAAAATGGCACAAAGTGCACTAAAAAGCATCCTTCATTTTGAAATTTAGACTTGCACTTTTAAGTGACTCCAAATTCCCAGAGTCTCTCTAATTGTGATTAAAGTGCACCAGCAATGTAAAAGAAAACCCAAATTCTATAACTATTTGAACATCTTAATGTAAATGCTGAGAAAAAGCTGGGGCGCCACACACATTGGAGTCAAGAGTCTCCATAGAAAGTAAAGGCTAACTGTACTATCTGTAATCAGTCACAACAGTGGCAATTTATAAGAGTTGCCTGTTGCATTTACCTGCTGTTTGTGCACCCACATCTGAACAACATTCTGATTTTCAATCAGTCCTTCACATTATGGGAAATGACTGTTACCTTCAGACAGTTGAAACTAACATGATAACATTAGAAGTTCCACCTTCAGGCCATACCTTATTGAATGACACCTGGTCACTGCAGATGGGACATTCATGTGAGAGGTACCTAAGAGCAGAGTCATAGTCTCTACTGGATTGTACAGCCTCCATGACATCTTCTACAGAGAAGCTTCTGCCATCCAGAGTCAATAGGCTTTGGAAGATGTGAGACTTCTCTTTTGAAACACCTTCTGGAATTGGTATATTCACCTGCAAGGCAAGCAATTTCATAAATGAGTAATTTGGGATGCATAACCATACAGTACTGTAAGAAGGACTGGTGTATGGTGATACTTATTTCCAAGCACTGAAGTGCCTAGAATTATTCAAGCAGTACTAGATTATTTTGGAAGTGATTTGATGGGGAATATCACACTATGTCCAAGCAACTTTCTAAACATGACATTCATGGCAGATATGCTTAAACAAATAGTCTTTTCTTTGCAAAATTCTTGTGTTTTTCATAACATTTTAATCTTTGCGATGATTCAGATTTTTGTAATTCCAAGAGAGAAGACAAGTGGAAAAAACACAACAGTTTGTTAACTTCAATAGACATGAATCTCTGAAACAAATGCAATCTTGGTTTGCTTTCTGGGCCCTCCGTGGATCTTACAGTAATCAGACAATTGTGAATGAAATGACTAAATTACTGACATCACATCTCTATGATGATTTGGAATTAAAAAAACACTTCTTTAGGCATAAAATTGCTTGATGAATGTTGATTATTAACAATTAACCTCTGTGAATCTTACATTATGACAGGTTATGATGTGCTTGTAGAAAAAGTTATAACTAATTTTCCCTTTCTGTACTCAAAAGACGGAATTAGAAAGCAACCACACACAAGTATGAAGTGTATGTCTACAGTTAGTAGTAAGATTGTGTGTATAAATCTTGATCATTTGTATGCATAAAAAGAAAACCTGTAAACCTGAGGTGTTGTAAGCTTACATCTGACAGGGCATTTGTCTTTAATATCACTCTTCAATATATAAAATTTCAGTGATGTCACTGGTAGCACTCTAAGGATTTTTGTTTCAAAATATTTCTTTTCAAAGTAATTATATTCGTTAGAACAACTCACTTTGTAAAAAGAACAGGTAATTGCAACCCCTTTTTAGGTTGATCTGGATAAAAGTATTAGGTAAATAAATAGTAATAATACATAATAATATCCCTCCGTATTCAATGAAGGATGCCATTTAAAACCTCAAGTCCATTTAGTATATTAACAATTATGTTAGCAGTTAATGAATAAGTAAATACTTTGAGAGCTGTAGTGGTAGAGTTTTTGAAGATTAGCACACACAAAACTTCTATCCTCTATTTATTAATATTATTTTATGAATATCATTACCCTTAATAATAAGTTATCGCATCAGCTATTAATTTAGAGTTTCTGTGTTCAAAGACAATTTTGCACGGTAGGTTTACCCTTACATATGGTAGAACAGGAATAAGTGTTCTTAATTATTAGAGGATAAATGTGTTATCAAATAATATTTGCACGTGCCTCAGACAGCTTCCCCATGAGAACGAAAAGTAGTAGCTTAATATTTATAGCTAATGTATCAACTGAAAATACTAAACATGATACAACATTATCATGTTGTTGTTTGCCTCAGCTAACTACAGTATTAGGATTATTTAGAAGATACATTTAGATACATATAAATCTGCAAAATAGAAAAGTAAACAAAACCAACAAAATATTGAACATGTAACAATAATTGAAATCAGCACAAGGTACAGATGTCATTGCAAAGCTGATGCGTATCTGAAAGGCAATCATAAACCCCACAGCTGTGTAAATGCCTTACCTCTGGTCTTTCATATTTCTTTACTTGAAGAGGAAATTTCTGGTTGTTCAAAGTAAGGACATGCTCCTCCTTTCTAGCCACACGCTCTGCATCTGAGAAGGTAAAAATCACACATTGTGTACAAGTCATAGCTAAGGTAAGGTACTGGTAACCTTAATGTTCAATAAAAAATTCAAACCGAAAGGATGCAAAAAAAATGCCAAAGTGCATTTGGAAATTATTTATTTCCCTTGTTTCATTGCACTATTGCCAACGGTTGTTTTAAAAAGAAACAAATCTGCAATGCATACAATAAATATGAATGTTTGTTGTACAAAAGACATTGAGAATCCAAACCTATTGTTTCTTTTGCAAATACCAGCTCCACTGTAAGCCATCGGTGAAAAGTTTGAAACTATGAAGATAACTTTTAAAAACAAAACTATGGATTAAAATATAATGAAAAGTAATTCCACTGTAACAAACTGCAGTAGAATTCACCTCACGTGTTCATCAGATCTGCCAAATTTGATCACCATATACAGTATTTATGTGACAATAAATACAATCATCAGCAGACATCTGATACATACAGTAGAAACAAATAAAGTAAAAAGATTAAATTAACACATTGATGTGTGAATTTCAAGGAGGAATTAACTTCTACTTGTTCTGTTGCAGTTTGCATGCAGATGCAGCTCCCCACTTCAATCACTGATACTCTGTTCTTTCATGCAGATGATAACAATGCCCAAACCTTTATTTCAAACTTACATTGCTCATGTAAATTGAGATGAATTCTACAGTACTACAGATTTTTAAATATAGCAGAAATATTCAAATAGTAAACCATTTTGAGTGTCAAAATGTAATTAGAACATGCAATTGAACTACCAAGGCCTAACTAGAGCCATGCAGAGCATTTTATTTCAGTTTTTTTTTAATCTGCCTATTCTTCAGTACCTTGAGGGTTACAAAATGTCACATAAGCCTGGTTGGGTTGGTCAGTTGGATACTGGACATCCAGAACTTCTCCACCTCCATTAGGTCTTCTTTGAAAGTAAATGGTGAGCTTGTTTTTCAGCTTGTTTTCTGGGAAGCCCCCTGGCAGTCTGCTCACTTCGATCTTATGTCTATTATCCACCAGTCCCAGGTCTTGGGCAAAGGGGCCATTAAGCTGCCTTTTGCCAATGCAGGTGGTGATGTCTTTAAAAAAATAGGGTTGAATTCACTATCATTATCTCAGTATATGTTACTTGTGCTAATTTTCCTTGATGAAACTAAAATAATGATAATCAATTCAAAAGTACAATTAAGTCTTTTGAAAGAAGCTAATGCTGTAGTTAACAGAATATCATTTGTGGCTATTCTGGATTTGCAACATCCTTTAAAATGATATTGTCAAATTCCTTCATTTCAAGAGTTCCTTCATTAATTCCTATCTTCTGCAATTATATCGTTTAGAAAAGAAAATTGTTTTTTTAGTTTGGTGGTGAAGAAAATAATTTGTGAAATTCTTAATGAAACAGAACATTTACTCCATGTTTTCTACTTCTAAATTAAATTTCAAAAACATGATGAAGAGATAATAAATAAGCAGTTAGATTTGTTAGACTTCACACTTCATATTTTATACTTTCAGAGAACTGTAAGCAAATGTCACCACTGAAACAAAACTGAAAATCACTTTGAAATAAAGATATATTTGCTTTTCCTAAAGCTGTTTCTAGAACAATGATAAAAATAATACAAATGCTATGGTTTATTATTACTGCCTACACACATAAATTAGTTAATAATGTGTTGGAGCCCATCCTGGCAGGATATACTTTGAGCTGGATGCCAGCCCATCACAAGGCACACACAGACACGAACGCACACACACACAGGGTCAATTTTCCCAAACGTCAATTGACCTACCAGTACTTTGGACTATGGGAGAAAACCATAGCATTATACATTCTGTTTAGATTCTAACTGTGAACAGAAAGGTCAAAACACTTTTTTACATTTTTATCATAAATGCACACCACAGAAGCAGCACACTATTTTTATAGGAAATATTACATGATACCTTGAAAACAGATGGAACTGAGATTCAATCATTAACTGTGAAAAAAAGTTGCCAGGTTGTCAACTTTAACTTAAGAAACACTTGGATTTTGACTATTTAAAAAAGAGAAAATCACAGGATTTTAAAAATTTTTAGTCTTTTTTGTCTAAAAGTTGCAAAAAGAAAAAAAGGTTAAAACATACCATTCTCTTTTGTGCCTAACTTGTAAATATTTATAATGTTTTCAAGCTCTAAACTCTTGAAAACATCATCAACATCTGCTGCACATGTGGGACTTTTTGCTGGAACTTCAGCTGTGAATAGATAAAAAAAAGTTTATCAATACTATATATATATTAGAAATTGTATACTGCACACATACAGAACTGCCTTGAATTTGGTCTATTTTGTGACAATCTGCAATGGTCTGGTTTTACAGCCCTTACTTTATGAGCTATGTGTAAGCATCCCTCTAAATCATTTTTTTTTTTAAATGAGTGAAACAGGTCAGATATATTTGTAAATTTGTCTGTGCAGTCATGATAAACCTGTAGTAACATCAGGAAACAGTAATTGCAAACAACTAATTAAAGTTGTACAAAAACATTAATACGAGTATTAATAAAAATAAACTCGGAAAGATAGATTTACTTTTCTTAAAGCTTCTAGAACAACAATACAAAGAAAACAAGTGCTTTGGTTTATTATACTGCCCACAAACATACTGTAAATTAGTTAATTAATTATATATTCAAGATAATATAGATACATTTAAGCATTTGTTAAAGATTTGGACACCATATATTTAAAATATTGTTATTGATATTAATAGTAATTAAATAATAATGATCTAAATCATGTCATTGAAACAGGAAAGGAGTAATCAATGATACTATAAGAGCTAGGACGAACCCTTTTTCTCAGAAACGTAACAGTGTAAATTTCTATCTTTTGGATGCTGCCAGTTCTTCCAGATTTATGGTTGAAGCCAGGCTAAGATTAATTTGAATATCATCAGAAAGAAGGAAAAGTGTAGGACTCAGAAGTCCCTGAGCACCCCACAGTTGTGAAAGATACATAAATCCAACTAATGATTAATAATAGAATTACAACAATCTATGTAATCTGAAAGTAAATCATATTTAAAATCAGTAAATACTGCACTGCAGTACTGCACACTAAAACTGAGATTTTATTTTAAATAAAATAGAATTCAACGATTGAAAATATTTTCAGTAATTGCTCCACTGTTACCCAGTGTCTTAATTCTACAATTTCAAATAAAAGGAATTAATTCAGAAACCAGGAAGCATTAAAAAGGGTCTGGGCACAATGACAAGAAATAAACAAACATAACTGGTACAAACAAAAACTATAATTGATTTAAAATTACTGTTACATGTATTACATGTATTTTAAAATATTCAGCTTGTTTGCTTTTAAATTTGTGGACAAAATGACTATTTCCACATCTTTTCAAATACCAAATATCAAACTCAGATGCCACTGCCTCCAGTGCTGACATTATTCAGAACCTCTCTGTGACTTACGTGCCCTCCTATGAAAAAGACTGGCAGTTTTACCTTTATTTTAAAGGCCAATTGTCATTTAATTTGTCTAAAACATACCTTTATTCTGCTCAGAGGGGATAGAAGAAGAACAGACTTTGTTTTTGGCAGGTTGAAATGCGATTCCCAGATCCATAAGCTTGGTAGCATAGGACTTCTTTTCCTCGTGCTGTGAACTTTGCTCTGGTTTTCTCACATGCTTTCCTGGTAACAAAAAGTAGAGTGTATTTTAACACAGTAATAGAAAGTGAAACCTCTAAAGCACTGGTCAACTAAACAGGCAATGGTGTTGCCAAAGAAAACTGTAGGTAATAAGCCTCAATTAAAGTTCAAAATTAATATTAATGTACATAACATTAATTTAAGACATTGACAATAAATACAGTTTTACTCTGCAAAATTAGATGACTATTTCTACAAAAGCATTAATTATTATATTATACTAACCCTAACCCTAACCCAAGAATCATACAGCTTCATTATCACAGTGAGCTAAATTCAAGACTCATATACAGTAGCTAAACATTTATAATTATATCTATGTAGTTCATTGAATCACATTAAAGCTGAAGATTAATAATAAATTAAGAACCAAGGTGCATTTTGCATAGCACATTACACTTCCTATATATTATAAAGCTGTTCATGACACAGAGCTGTGCCTTTTTAGAATTGATCCCAGTTATAAACTTTCAGTTTTGTTTATTCCGTTAATAATGCTTCAAGATCTTACATGTTCAAGATGGTCTGAATTATCATCTCTATGCTGATGATACTCAAATCTTCTAAACCATTGGTTCTCAAACTGTGGTACGCGTACCAGGAGTGGTACGCGGAGTGCCGCCAGGTGGTACGCCATATGACCCTGGAACTGTGTTGTGTGCGCTGAAAATACGCAGCCTACGTACTATGGTACAGCGCACGCTAATATTTGAGTGGACGCAGAGTTACGATGTAATTCTATACCACTCTATAGGAATGCATGCTATGAAGTAAGTGGCCAATTGTATTTAAAAAAAGCTATCTCCAGCAAATAGGGAGGGAGGAGAACGTGCGTGATCTTGGAACACCACCAATCTTGTAAGCGTGGGAAAGTATAGAAATGCATGCTTCGAATTTAAGTGACCAATTGTGTTTAAAAAAAGCTATCTCCAGCAAATAGGAAGGTGGGAGAATGTGCATGATCTTGGAACATGCCAATCTTATAAGCATGGAAAAGCGTGAGAGATAACAGAAAAATATTTAAGGACTGTTCTGGGTTAGTTTGAGAAAAATACATCATGTATCTCTGTTTCGCATCCATGCGAATGAAAGAAAAACTTCTGAGACAGACTTCTGACTGCCTTTAAAGGGGAAACGGGAAATATTTCTCCAACAGCGCCACATTCGTCAACAATTGATTGAAAATGAATACCTCACAAAAATCAAGTATTATGTCCTGGCTGAAAGGAATAGACACCAAGAGTAATGATGCCAGCTCCGAAAGATCACGCACACCTGTTGAGATTGAGGAGGATTATACATCGGCCACCGACACAAACTCTGCTGCTGAACCTGCTAGTGTTAACAAGCGTCGGAAGACAGCTACAAGGCAGTACGATCCAAATTATCTAAATTTGGGATTTACTTACACCGGGACAGAGGAAGAGCCAAGACCACAGTGTGCCGTGTGCTGTGAGATTCTCAGCAATAAAAGCACGAAGCCAGCATATTTAAGGCAGCACTACAACGAAGCATGAGCTCTTGAAGGATAAGCCTGTTGATGTTTTTCAAAGGAAACTTAAAGATCTGAAGCAGCGCAAGTACACCATAAGGAACAGTGCCACTCCAATTTCCAAAGCCCAAGAAGCATCTTACTACACAAGCTTGCAGATTGCTAAGGCAGGTAAGCCCTACACTATCGGTGAAGAACTTTGTTTACCGTTGGCAAAAGAGCTGATACTTATTATGTGTGGAGAAAAAGCTGCTAAATAGCTCGACCTGGTGGCCCTTTTGAATGACACTGTCACTCGTAGAATTATTGATAAGGCGCATGATGTCAAAAGTACGCTGATAGAGCATGAGGACTTTCTGTTCTGCAAGCCGCTACCAACAAGAACTACAGGAGAGCACATATTTCAGCTTCTGAATGACTTTATTGAAGAGAATGGCATTGACTGGAAATAATGCGTCAGAGTTTGTACAGGCGGTGCTAGAGTGATGACAGGCACACACAGCGGTGTAGCTGCACGAATTAGAAAGGTTGCTCCAGATATGAAGTGGATGCACTGCAGCATCCACCGCAAGGCCTTGGCAGCCAAGAAAATGCCTGAGGATTCGAAATCCATGTTAGACTCTGCTGTCAAAGTTGTGAATTTTATCAAGGCTCGACCAATGAATTCACGTCTGTTCAGTGTGCTTTGGAACGAAATGGGCAGCGAACATGTGCAGGTTTTGTTACATACCTGAAGTGAGATGGGGCAAGTGTGAGGGGCAGAGTGCTCACGAGGCTCTTTGAGCTGCACTCTGAGGTACACATGTTTTTGCATGACCAGCAATTTCCCTTGGCAAGTCTATTTGATGATCCAGTGTGGCTGGTAAAATTGGCCCACCTGGCTGATATATTCTCAGGTTTGAATTAGCTGAATATGGGGCTCTCTTTAACAATTTTTGATGTGTCTGACAAGATCACTGCTATGAAGAAAAAGCTGCAACTTTTTGTTAATAAAATCAATGCAGGTGATGTGTCTGCTTTCCCAACTCTGGAGAACCATCTGCACACATATGGTGTGGAACTTGATGCTGCTGTTCGAGATGTGATTGCAGTGCACCTCTTGTCATTGAAAGAACAGTTCTCAGAGTATTTTCCAGTTGAGGCAACACCAGAGTGGATCAGGAACCCCTTTACTGTTGATGCCGAAGGAATACCCAAGAATCTCTCCTGTGCTGAGCAAGAGAAGTTGCTCAAGTTATCATCTGATGCAACTCTGATGTCAGAATTGAAACGACAGTCACTGTTGCATTTCTGGATCCAAAGACAGAGTGAATACCCAGCCCTCTCATTAAAGCCTGTGCAATTTTTGATACCTTTTGCTACTACCTACCTTTGTGAGGAAGGCTTCTCTGCTCTCACTGTAATCAAGACAAAGTACCGCAGCAAAATGGATGCTGAGCCAGATCTGCGTTTGAAGCTCACTGCCCTCATCCCTGACATTACAAGGCTTTGCTCAACTAAACAAGCTCACCACTCTCACTGAAATGGTAAGTTCTCAGTGTTATTCTTATAATTGTTTCTATTTTTATTATATGTTTATGTGAGAGTGTGTGCGAGGACTCATGTTGGTCATTGAGATTTTCTGTGGTTCCTATGGGAAGATGACTTGTAGGTGGTACTTGGATGCTTTGGTTTTATCAGTGGTACTTGGTCCAAAAAGTTTGAAAACCACTGTTCTAAACCATACTAAACCTGACCCAGACGTGGCTGCTTCTGCACTCTCTAATTGCATCTCTGACATAAGATGACTCCAAACTCCCTTCACTTAAACTACAACAAGGCTGAGGACATGCTTCTCGGCACATCTGATCAATTATGTAAAGCCAACACAGTAACCCTATCTGTAGACGGCATTATACTTGAGTTTCAATCTAAATTAAAGAACTTGGAAGTGATTATTGATCCAGGCTTGACGTTAGATTCACACGTTCACAATATTGTATAAACATGATTTTTCAATTTAAGAAATAGAAATTCCAGACTACGTCCTATTATGCCTCTGACTGAAAAGCTGGTCAAAACGTTTGTCCTTTCCAGTATTGGTTATCGTAAGGCCCTACTCACACAGGTTTCTAAATCATTAGTATGTCTAACATTTGGAAGCCAGAATCCTGACTAGGTCACTTGCAAATGATCACATTACTCCTGTCCTGGAGTCCTTGCACTGGCTTCCTATCAGTTTTCATGTGAACCAGTTCTGTGTCTGCCCCTTGCATCTTTATCTGCTTTCTTAACCCTTGTTTTGAATTGTAATTTTGTTACCTCTTCTCCTTGTTTACTTTTTTTACTGTAAAGCGCCTTGAGTTACTTTTAAAGGTGCTACATAAAATAAAGTTTATTTTTAAACAAAAGAAAGTCTGTAACCCTTCTACCGGAGTAAACAGATATACTTACGTGTATCAGTTGAACACTGAACTGGTGAAACATCGTACATGCTTTGACTCAGTGTGGTATTCGGATCAAAGATGACGGTCCCAGAGTAGGTCAATGTGCTATAGAAAACACAATGGAATATGTATAATTGAGTGGCTGAACAGGCATTTTGTTCTCAACCAGGATTATAATGACAAAATATTTCATTTTGCTGTCAGAACAAGAATTAAACATACCATGTTCCATCTTAAGCATCATATACTGTAGGTACATTCCATTCTACATTGAGAAGCTTTGTACGTCACTGCATTAAAAAGCAAAATAGATCAATAACAAACAGCAATATCTGTAGGGCAGGGATGGGTTAGAGGATGTTTTCTGGAAGTTTGCCTTTTTTGTTCACAAACACAATTTTTTAGCCAAATTTATGAAAGTATATAAAACTAGGTAAATGTTTCTAACAGGACAGAAAATTATAATAAAAGTACTATATTTCTAAGGAAATATGCAATTGTAATACCTCCTACACGTATCTGTCATATCTCTCACAAAAATCAATATACAGATGATGTACTGTTATGTACCTATTTATTCTTTTTGCTTTATTGTTCAGTACTTCATGCCAATCGATTGAACAGTTTAGTTAACACAAAAGCACTTACCTGGTGTCAGGAATATACTTCCTGGAAGGTTCATAATATCCTATAGGTTTAGTATTACCTGTACAAATAAGTAAAACAGAAAAATGCCATCACTGATAAAGCAACACTAGTCTTCCTAAATATGATAATCTAGCTATTTTAATCAACTACCAGTAACAACTCCCAACCAAAAAAACAGTTTGTGAAAAATTCCAGATGTCAGCTATAGATTAAGCAGCACTGTACAATGAAATCCACTGTTCAGTCATTGAACATTAAATCCTGCTTAACATATTTCTCTGTATTTCTTTACATGCAGCCTGAATTACATTTTTTCCACTAACAGAATTTCAGAATTTTCAGGTATAACAAAAAATTTAAAAAGACATTTTAAAAAATAAAAAATGCAAAGGAAAGGGGGAAGATGGCTTTAACTGCCTGATTAAATGTGAACCTTTTAGACCCATAATGAGAGTCTGCTCATTAAGAGAACAGCCTGCTAAATTCATAGCTTTGTCTTTATAAAATAACATAAAGTGCAACTTTCTAGACAAGTCTTAAACACACTACAAATCCACAAAGTAAGTTACTTAAATGATTCTTAATAAAAAGTTAGCTTTATATCACTCTTTTGGGGACTTTTGGTATAATGTAATATAATTAAGTAAACATGATGTGGGGTTAAATATAGAGAAAAAGGATCAAAAGGAGCTGCAGGCAGGACAAAGCTAATAAAATAATAAATGAAGCTTTTGACGGACTTTCTTCTACAATTCTATTACCTTTTTGATTTCTATCATGTAGCACAAATGATAATAAAAATGATTAATACACAGCAGAAATAAGGTATATGTAATAAATATTAATGTTGACGTTCTACAGTCACCTGGCTGGAGTAAAGATGGCACTAGCCCTTGTGAAGGTAATGCAGAAAACAATGGTGTCTCACTCTGGAAAGCTGTCCTCATCTCCTCTACAACTCCTAATAAATTAGATGTTCCCTGTGGTCATAAACACATATACAGGCAAAACCATAGTCAGTGTACTGAAAGACATGTTGCCAGACAGAGGAGGATTGATTTGATTACTATAGTGTAACGGTCAGACTGCATTTTCTCATGAAATCAGTATTGTCTCATCAACATCAATATGTTTGTCATATGAACCACACTTTCAATATGAAGATGAGTCAGAACTTGCAAATTCAAAGAGCCTTATAATGAATTTAACTGATACAATGACATAAAAGGAATTATGATCTGAAATAGATCTCACTGTAATTCGTTCTATTTCAATAGCTTTACAAAGGACTTTGTTTGATGTGATTACAACAGTATTTCCAAAGGCACACTATATTCAATAACAGTGATACCTAATTGGCCATGTGCTGTCAGGATTATACCTAAGCACCCGAATTATGACAACTCTTGATAAAAGCATGTAAAAAGGTGCTCCAATCCAATGTATTTAAAATTAAAACATGACAAAAGCCAGAAATTATTCCACATGTACTTAAAGCCAGAATGTGCAGTCTTTATTAAGACCCAGTAAAAGTCTTGTACCACCTGAAAATAACTATAACCATACCAAAAGTGATATGGATATTCTAATTAATTTGTTTAATAAACAATCAAATACTAAATGTCAGTTATAATATAAATATACCCCTACTAACCTTTAAAAATTAAAGATTCCAATTTCTTACATTAAACATTTGCAGCCTTTATATTAAAAGAGATTGATTTTATACATTTAATAAAATATTTTATTTATTTATACAACATATTTGTTAAACATCCTGTGTCAAAACTGACACAACTATGGAAAAAAATGTCATTACTGCAATCTAATCTACATTAGAACCATTATATTATTTTGGACATTATTTTCTATTGTCAAAACAGAGTGCTCCTAGAAAAGAAAATATCTATAGAATCATGTTTGGTACTGTACCATGCCAGGTACTGCAAGCAATTTTAAAAAATGTAAAACTAACATCATGCAATCTGTAACTTAACATTCACCAGTGTCAAGCAGACAAAGTGCAGAGCAAAACTAGTATTATGCAATACTGTATAAAAAGATTTTACTTACATGCTTCCAGTTACAGAGGTAATGGAGACGAACATGCCCATTCTTATCTACATAACTGCTGTTTGCATTTATAACCATACATGCTGAGGGATTCACAAAGCATTTAGGAGGATTCTGAGGGTGTGTGTTGTGCAACCATATGCAGACAGGTATATTGTATGATTTACCTAAACCAAAAAAAAAAAAAGAAACTCAAATAAATGTGGATTAATTCACATATAAAGAAGTGTATGTACAATGCCTTGCAAAATTATTTGGACATTTTCTGTAGCAAAATTACAAAATGATGTATGTATGTTCTTTAACCTTAAATTGTTATTAAAAACTTGAATGCTAGCAAGTAAATGTTAGAGTAAATGCAGTAGTGAATGTAGTGAATGTTAGCAAAAGCTAATAGTTAATACTTGTGAAGTTTGGTGGAAGCATCTTTGGAAGCCATTGTAGCCACATCTATTTGGTGTCTACCAACATGGCACACCAGCTCAGTGTGATTTAAGTTTTCTTGGCATATTGGCTGAAACTCTCTCAAGATGCTTGGGGAATTGATTATAGACAACAGTTTTTCAGTTTTCTATAGATTTACAGTAAGTCATTTGACGGAGCTACAAGGACATTCACTTTCTTATTAAGCCACTCAATTGTAGCCTTGGCCTTGTGCTTTTGTTCACTGTCCTTCTGACAGGTGAATGTTTGGCCCAGTTTTAGAGTCTGAAGCAAGTCTTGCTCCATCTATGTTCACATGAGTCTTGACAACCTTCAACAGTATCTGTAGGTGCAGAAATTTAACATGCTGTCAGCACCTGACAGTAGGCATGATGTTTACTGAGTGATGAACTACGCTGGGTTTGATTCTTTGAGTCTGATATAAAGCTTTGCATTTACACCAGAAAGTTACAACTGGGTCTTGTCTGAACATAAAACCTTTTGTCACATAATTACAGTATCACGTAACTGTTTTGTCACTAACCCTGTGCATGATTTGAGATGGTTTTTTTTTACTCATCTGCTGAATGCTCTTTTTCAAAGTTCCTGGAGGCCTTATTGTGGCATCTCTACCTAGTTTCCCCCTTACCAAAATGCTCAGCTTAAAGAGACAGCTTCAAGCTTGATATAGGCAGTGTTTGGTGTCTTCCACTTCCTAATAAGCAACTTCACAATGCTCAAAGAGATATCAAGGGTCTTTGAGATGCTGTTATTCCCTTCTCCTGAGCTGTCTTTATACACAGTACTACCTGACAGATGAACCTTAAAGAGATATGATATCAAAATAACATCACCTAAGAACCATTATTACTGCACACAAAGGCCACACAACTAATTGTGTGGCTTGATAAGGTACTTTTGTGCATGTAATATAAGTTTGCCACAACAAAGTGTGAAAATTCCTCAATCACTTTTCTATTTTGCTTTCATATTATCTATTTACTTCGTTTATGTTTTGAATATGTGGAGTAGGCTGTGTATATACCAAATATTAATTATTCCAAGTCATGACTGCAAAAGTTAAAGCAATAAAATGTGAAAACTATCTAAGTGGCTGAATACTTTTGCAAGGCACTGTATAAACAATAATGTCTGTATTCACACAATACACGGGGCCTTTAGACAAACACGATGCAATTTTTGAGTGATTTATTTCTGTGACAAACATAATACTCTTTACCTTCATATAAAATGGGAACAGTGCCACTTAGATTTACCAGCTGCTTCTTCTCACCATTGGCATAACCTGCAGAAAGCAAGACGTTGGATGATAAAGACAAGTCACAAAGAAAATAACAACACTACTTATTTAAACTGACAAAAAAGCAATTTTAACACTCCATGCTCCTGCTCAATCCCATCATAGCACTAGATGCAATGCTCAATCTCTCAATTACATCTTTTTTCATACACATGAAATATGTAGGAGACAGGAAACCAGCCCAGGTCCACACTACATACCACTCCAATGCAATCTGATTCAACTTAGATTTTCATTCTCAGAGCTCAGATTTGTAAAATCAATCTCTGGACAGGCGACCTAGTATGATCAACTTGATTTCTTATGCTAAATTAAAATAAAATAAATATAACTATTTTCCCATTCCTTGCTGGTTTTGATATATACAGTACAGTATATATATTCACCTTTATTACAGGAATGCTATCATGTAGAGCAACCTGTAAGGAAGATCATCTAGTCAAGCCTGCTTTCATTTTAAGGATGTGAAGAATTCTCATTTTAAGATTCACTGAAAATAAGGAGAGATCTTAATAACCTAGTAAATAAAACATGACGTTTGTAACTTAACATGAATATGGGGTGGAAGACTAGAGTTAGTGAAATTCAAAGGCATAAGTGCTGATCTCAACCAATATGTTGTTGTGACTTGGGGATAACTTGGTTAGCTACTGTAGATGTTTGCAATTGCCAGCTTGATTACCTTATTTTGAAGATTTGAAACAATGAGTACTGTCTTGTGGTATCTACACAGTTGTCCAGTAGGTCTTGTGACAAGTAAACATGGTTTGATATAAATGATCAAAGGAGTGTACTTAATAATCAGATTACAGTACATTAAATCACTGTTGAATCATTAGGTCAGCCACATTATAACATAATTATTTAACAGTGACCTGACCATTATAGCGAAGTCATTGGGCCACCCTCCTGGAAATGGATCATGGGACAGAATTATCCTCAGGGCAAGATATAACACAAGTCAAAAGAAGAGAGAGGAACGAAGAAAGAAAGGCAACGTCATCATTAATCATCATCACGAAGAAGAAGAAAATTGTATTGTGTGGGACTTCTCCTTTTTTTGCTTATATGAATTCAGCTACAAAACTGAATCCTATTCCTAATACGTGTACATATAAATTACATATAAAGTGAAAACAGGTCAGACACATACAGTACGCTGTAGCTAAATGAATGCACCATCACTGCACCATCTCTGGATCATTACTGGACTTGCTTTCGAGTGAAAAAAAAAATGACCAAGAAAAATACTTCATGTAATATGGCCATATTAAATCAGTGTTAACAGGATAGAGATACAGTATATAAGTAAAGAACATACATTTGCATACTGTAAATGTTTTGAATAGAGATTTTATATTTTCTATATTTTTCCTCCTTGGTACATTTTCTCTTAAAATAAATTGTATCAGATTCACTTCTGTTGAAATGAATGACAGAAAGTTATAAGTCTTTTAGAAGTACTCACAATAAAAATCTATATACAGATGAAGATCTCTATAGGCGGCTTGAACACTGCTGACATCAGAAATGACATCCTGGGGAAACTGATAGTGGCACTGCAGGTAAAAAAAAAAATATATTAACTTGAGCCTGATCTCTTTGGTCATCTACTGTAGCAAATCATTAATACCTGTATTTTTAAATATATTAAAAGACAATTATGTCAACATTTTATAAGTCATTTATAAATTGTATAAAGAAATTTCTAAACTGTTTTATCCATTACACAGGTCAAGGGGAAAACGTAACTTGGCAAGCAATGGGTGTGAGGCGGGATACATTCTTGACTGAAGGCTATTCCAAAGCTGGGCACACACAAACACAAATACACACACTTTCACTGGGGCCATTTTTTTACCGAAGCCTATTATCCTACCACTATATCACTGGACTGTGCACAGAGACAGGTCACCAAAACAACTGGAGGAAACCCATGCAGACACAACTTGGCAGAAATAGGACCCCAGGAATTGAACCCAGGGCCCCAGCTATGCAAACCGCTACACCATCCATTCTTAACTCACATTGAACAAGATTATTTTAAAATCTGATTACACCATTTCAAGGTATGCACAGCAGCCAGTATGAAGTGTTTTAAAGAGCTAAACTATGACATCAAATCTATTACCAATCAAATCTACAGTGTTTCTTTGCCAGGACAAGATTTCTTGAAATTAACCTCATTTGGATTTCTCTACACTTCCATGACACTGTAAGACTACGTTTTCTCTATCATAATCAATAAAGAATTGTTTTAAGCAGAAAATGACTTATTACCAAGTAATAATAGCAGAAGTTAGCAAAACGTCTAAGCTTTTTTGCACAAGAGTGTGCATAAATGTAAAATAATATATAGGTAAACACATTATGTTAACAAAATAATAAAACAAATCCAACCTATATTAACGAAAACATATTTTCTTATGTATTTGACTTATTCCTAAACAATACGATTTATTTACTATTAAGTTGATTCTATTAATGACCTCTGAATGAAAGTCCAGTATATCTTAGGTGTTGCATCACATTTAATTAGATGCGTTGACCATCTTCCGCACTGTCGCAATTATTCACTTATGATTTGACATTTTTAATACCGTTAAATTATTTGACTCGCCTTCCACAACAGCGTGGTATTGTTAATGTGTATTTAATTATTTTGTAAACAAATAAAAACAAGCATAATTGCTGTAGCCTTACCTTAACTAGAGCTTCATTTCGTTTATCAGGATACACCCTTGACATTTTCTGTCAAACTTTACGAATAATGTACATTCGGCGCAAAAAGCAAACAATCTAAAAGTGCTGAGAACCGTGCATTAAGCACGCCACAACAGAATGTGTCACATTTAAAAAACGGAATTTTTGGAAACTACGTAAACATGGCTCTCAGCATAGAAATGAACAGACGTCTGTTAATAGTTTGCAAACAGGAACTTGTCAATAACATTTGTGTGGAAGAGGTTTCTCGCCATGTTGTTTGTGTCAAAAAGAAGCAGCTGCCGTGAGGCTAAGAGGACGCTATCCTTATATTAATTATTAAAACGAAAGTACAGCAGGTCTTGCGTGCCTCAAAGGTTTAATGGCAGCCTAGGAGTTGTATTTTCTTCCTCACCAGACTGCATTATGGTACCTGTAGTTCTTTGACTGAAATACTGAAAAAAGGCGTTTTTTTATCCAGGGAAGTATGTTTTTAATTATTAAGGCAACCCTTTGACATTATTATTTGTGTGGGACATGATTTTGTTAGCCATTGCTTGTTGTTTTATTTTTGAGATTGCAATATTTTACTTTGTAAAACGCATGGTACGTTATCTTAAGTAACTTCTTTAGTTCGTTTTATTTAAAAATGAGTCTAATTCTTGACGAATACCTGTGAATTTTACTTTTTGTATGACAGCTTTTCCCAGAAATTCTTGCTGGTAGTGTTTGAGAGATTAAACTCAAATATCAATAAAGCATCTTCCTACAGTATATTCTTCTTAAAATCAAACAGCAAATTTGAATACAACGTGTAAGACATCCATATTTAACATGACAACGTACCACAAAATGTTATCTCAAACGCTTCTTTGGCTCAAGGGTATCCCAAATCCCCAGTTTAGCACAGTGTGTTTGCTGCTTGTTGTGTACTGTGTCTTAAGCGCTTGCAGTTGTGCCTGTGGGGTGGTTTGAGTTCAGATTAAATTTTAAATAATACATCTTTAATGTCTGTATGGGGCCTGAATGGTAGTTAGGTCCTACATGGAATTATTTCTACATGTGTTGCAAGTATAAATAGGCCCCTGCTGGCATTTAATCATAGCCACTCACAGGCGTCCTCAACTTCAGAGCCAACCAGCACTAATTCCTAGACAGTGGTGAATTTTGCACCAGAAGATGTGGTTCCCTGTGGAGAGAGATTTTAACATTATCTAGAGAACAGGGGTGTGATGTCATCTTCAGACTCTGTGCCACTGAGCTTTGGCACACATACTGTACCTTTAATCCCACTATTCCACCACATTTATGTTACGTGGATAAATCCTCAAAGACATTATTTGTATCTCAGCTTAGTTTTACGTCTTCTGTTCCTTCCCTGCACTGCAGTGTCACTCTAAATCCCATTTGCATTGTAGGCATTACATCACAATTATTCCATAACAATTACATTGTAATATTGTCTAAAGATGACTGCCTTTGATGGTCTAATGGTGCTGTTGATAGATAGATAAGACTTTATTGATCCCAAAGGGAAATTGAGGTGTTACAGCAGCCCAGCCCAAGAAAAGCAAAAATTAAAATACATACAGTAATACAAAATAAACATAAAATAAATACATAGGTGTGTGCAAAATATGCTCATAGTCACTGTAAGAGCAATAAAATATGTAAAAAATGTACATAGGTATATAAAGATTGAGTGTCCAAAAAAGTTCAATAGTGCAACATGCTGTCCATAGACGAGCAAATGAAGGGCTAACAGTCCTAGCCTAGGGCAGTGTTATACACCCTGACAGCCACCGGGAGGAAAGACCTGGGGAAACGTTCCATTGAACACCGTAGCTGGAGCAGTCTGTTGCTAAAAGTGCTCTGCTGCCTAATAACAGTCCCATGAAGCAGATGAGAGGTGTTGTTCATGATGGCCGTGAACCTGGTCAGCATTCTTCTCTCAGCCACCACCTCCAGGGGGTCAAGGCCTCAGCCCCAACACAGAGCCAGTCTTCCTGATGAGTTTATTAAGCCTATTTGCATCTCTTGTCATGATGCCGCTGCCCCAGCACACAGCAGCGTAGAAGATGGCCGCTGCCACCACTGATTCATAAAAATTGTGTAGCAGTGTTCCACACACACCAAAAGACCTGAGCCTCCTAAGAAAATAGAGTCGGCTCTGATCTTTCTTGTACAGGGCGTCAGTGTTAACAGACCACTCCAGCTTATCATCCAGGTGTACCCCTAGGTACTTGTAGGACTGCACCCCCTCTATGTCCTCACCCTGAATTGAAACAGGGTTCAACGGAGACTTATTCCTTTGAAAGTCTACGACCATTTCTTTAGTTGCTTCCACTTTGTTCAGAACGTGTGCCATGGAAAGTTATTTTCAGCCTGATGGGCTCACCCCCGCACACCCCACTTAAGATACTTTCATACTTGTGTTATTTTTGTTAATATGATGACTGTTCTTTATCATTGTAAGATTCCTCCTGTTTTTCTTTTAGCCCTGTTCATTTCACCGGTTGTTTAACAATATTGTCACTGACTCACTCTTTTTAAATTTCAGAGATTGTGCAATTTATATCCTATAATCCTATATATTATGTAATAAGATTTATTTCTATATAGGGTACAATCCTATGATTATATCCTCATTTGTTTGCACGTGTTTAACAAATGGTCAACTTTTAAAGCATACTTATCTGGCCTTTAGTTCTTCCATAAATTACTAAACGGTCATGCCATTAAACAATTTCCCATAAGCAAATAAATTATTCCCAAAAGGACTCCAAAGATCTGAAATTCCTGTGTTAGCTTTTTTGCCTATAACCTCAGGCATACTGTAGGTAGCACTTTTCCTGTAAAAAACACTGTTTTACTCTCATAACCTTTTATTAAATCTCTCCTTTTTTACTTTCCCAGCTTTCATCTCCTCCTTCAAGCCTCCTTTTTCACATATGCATGTTTGATATGTTTGATTTCACTCTAATGACAAATCTAATTAACCACTTCTATCATTCTGTCTTTATTTTAAAGTTGGATGAACTACTGAAATGGAGTTAAATGGAAGTTAATGGAAATCTCACACTTCATTTCACGTAAGCATAAGTATCAAAAGATAAGATTAGTGTCTTACATGCCTTTGCTTGTCACTTTGCATCCTTCTCTCTGCACCAACTACACTCTTACAGCAGCATCCTGGCTCTTGTTATGATGACCTCATCCTTACCGTAAAACTGTCACTCCTTGCCAAGCCAATTAAGCTAATTATCAAAATCCAATTAATTACTTCTATCATTGAACTGTAACTGTCTGACTAACTGAATTTGTCACATTGTATACACTATGACATTTTTGCATTATTTAATGAGGGAAAAATTTCACTTTAGGAATGAATTTATCTATATAACACACATGGATTTATTCCATGTGTGTTAACACACATGGATTTATTCACATGTACAGTAGCACAATGAAGCTTTCAGGCCCAGAGTGTTGTGATTACAGCGTACTTAATTTTAATTTTCAAACTATGTCTATTTCAGAAATAACATGGATAACAAAGTTACACTTTTAAATACGAACAAAATTAATAAGATTTAAGGACATATGGAGAATTAACAGAATGGCGGTCACAGAGACAATGCAAACAACAGTAAAAGGAATAATGTGTTCCCCTGTCACTCCTGAGGAAGAGCACTCTTAACTATATACCGTTTTTCAGACAGATACACTGAGTAGTGCATTTTTAAATCCCTCAAGTCTGAGACAATATTTAAAAAATTACAAAGAAGGTATAAAATCACCGGAAACATGAAAAGTTTTCACTAGGTATTTACCTTGAGTTTTTAAAAAAGAATAATTTTAATTATGTGCTAATGTAATAAAAAATGATAGAAGAGTCTGAATTCATGTTTAGTAAGTATTCCATAACATGTTTGGAGATTTGGTGTTTTGAAGCATAACTGATATTCTTCTCAATTTACAAATTTACAAAGTTAAAGTACTTACTGTAGCTTTTTTCAAAATTACTTTAACTTTTTTTCTAACTTTGCACTAAGAACTAAGAATGGTTTAAATAAAGTGGTTCTCAGCATTTTCAGATGTTAATAAGAGCTAGAGGAAGAGGAAGAGGTGTTAGTGGGGTCAGCAGGGGGCGCTCACCCTGCGGTCTGTGTGGGTCCTAATGCTCCAGTATAGTGATGGGGACACTATACTGTAAACAGGCGCCGTCCTTCGGATGAGACGTAAAACCGAGGTCCTGACTCTCTGTGGTCATGAAAAATCCCAGAGTGTTTCTCGAAAAGAGTAGGGGTGTAACCCTGGCGTCCTGGCCAAATTTCCCATTGGCCCTTACCAATCATGGCCTCCTAATAATCCCCATCTATGAATTGGCTTCATTACTCTGCACTCCTCCCCACTGATAGCTGGTGTGTGGTGAGTGTTCTGGCGCACTATGGCTGCTGTCACATCATCCAGGTGGATGCTGCACATTGGTAGTGGTGGAGGGGAGTCCCCATTACCTGTGAAGCGCTTTGAGTGGAGTGTCCAGAAAAGCGCTATATAAGTGTAAGCAATTATTATTATTATAAAAATAAAAGTTGCAATTTCCAGTTATTTATGAAATGTATTAAAAAATCTACCTGGATTTTTAGAATATAATAATAATATATAAATAATATATACATCCACCTTGATGGATTAGAGATTAAAGAGCGATTAAAGAAATAAAGAGATTCAATATAAGAGATTAAAACAATTCAATTACAAATTTGAGGTTTAATCACTACCTTTTATTTTAATTGACACATTGGCCTGTTGTGTAAGTAATTAAATGATTTCAGCTGATTATTGTAAAATAGAAGTAAATCTTTGTATAAATGGTATGTTCTGCAGTTTTTTTTGTATTCATCAAAACTTGTGGTTAATGGGAACTTTAATTTGCTTTTGTTAACATTCTGACCATGAATGAAAATGCTTACTTGCATGTAATCAACAGGCAATTTCAGATTGGTTGAAAAGGTGGAACATAATTGAATATTAAAAAAATAATTACAAAACATCCTTAATAAGACTTTAATCTCAAATTCTTCATGAGTAAATACTGCCCAGCAATACTGTATGTTTTTTCTCAAGCCCCACTTGGTTACCATGTGCAGATAGCCTCTTTGATCATTGTTTTTCTAATTGATCAACATCTCCTGGCATGATTTATTGATTAACTTTAAGTTCATTCTAGTTAATCTAATTATTTATTTATTTCAGTTAAAGGTTCAACTAAATAATGAAAATTAGCATCAGGAAGAGGGAGGCCCTTTGCTCGATCAGTGTTTTCCAAATTCAGTCTTAGAGAAGCTTCTATAGCCCAATCTAATAAAAAAACTCACAAACTTGAGTTGCTGGGGTCT